GCAACAGCTCGCAAGTCAACGAACTGCAAGTGGAAGTGCATTAAGAAATGCATTTGCAACACAGACGGCTATACATTAAGCAAGAAGAACAAGAAGCAACCCACACTCTTCCCCTCCCCACCCATTACTCGTCTGTGCATGTAACTGCTGGAATGCTGCTGCATACGTGTTTGTTGTGTGCATGCTAATTGAACTGCCACGCCCCCAACGCCCACACTGCACACACACAATTGCAACTTTGATTGCAACTACCACGACATTTGATTTTGCAATCCACTCACACACACACGCACACACTTGCCATGTTTTCGCATCCGGCAAATGGCGACCAGGTATTGAATAATTCCAATGCTATACACACCTTCAAAATGAATTTTCAAATAAAAAGTTAAACTCAAATTATTCCCCTTTTTTAAGAAAAGTTTTTAATTCTACATATCTTTTTTTTTTAACTCTTAAGTATTTAAAATTTGTCCTTGATTGGACCTTCAATTTGATGACTACTTGAAACTTCGATCATGCTTCTGCTTAAAATCCCTTCTTTTTTTTTTGAAAAGTTTTTAATTCTACATATCTTTTTTTTAAACTCTTAAGTATTTATTTACAATCTGTCCTCGGTTGCAAATTGTATGATTATTTGAAACTTCGATAGTGCTTCTCCGCTGATAATTGCGAAGACTTCTAATTATAAAGCCATATATATTTATTCGACTATGGAACTCTCTCCGAAATTATTTTTTATTGAAAAATGCGAAAAACTAAAGCACAAAAATATAAAAAGCAATATATATATATATATATATATATATATATAATAGATATATAGATATATATATATATATATATATATATATATATATATATATATATATAGATATATATATATATATATATATATATATATATATATATATATATATATACAATAGCAATTATTATGAAATTCTAGTAGAAATCATTCAAAACGTTTCTTTTGTTTTCATACAAGTATTTTTCAAATGTGTTTCAATTACTGTAGCCATCGAATTGAGAAATTGTTGGAAAAAGTTTGGCCTCCAGCTTCCACATTAATGAACATCAGTTGAAGTTGAACTCTAGTATACGAAACTGCAATAAATATTGTTGTTCACCTGTTGTACATTTCATTTTAAAAACTTTACAAATAAGTAGACTTAAAATAAGGAGGAAAAATACCTCAACATCTGCCCCCTTTTCCAATGAATATTGCTGCTGTGCTTTATTATTTGCGAATTTAAAAATGTACTAACTAAAATAATGATGGTTAAGGAGTTAAGGCTCCAAATTCGATTCGTTAGGCTGTCGACGATTTATAATTGGCCTAACGAAAATAAGGTTGGATTTGTGTTGGATAGCAGAAGATTGAGATCTGAGTTAAGGTTCTAAAATCGATTCGTTAGGCTGTGTAATGCTAGTTTTACTTTAAATGCCTTGCGTTCTAAAGGGTCTATACGAGTAGTGTTAGTTCTTTTAAAACCTAAAAAGTGATCAAAAATAAAATATAATTTGGTGATAATATAAATATTTGGTGACCCCTTGCTTAACAACATTTCCACATTTTTTATAGACAACACTTCTAGCAGGAATTCCAAAATTAGACAGTCGCTACGAATCCTGGCGCTTATAGTAATACTACTTTAATACTTCAGTCTTTAAATTATATAAAAATGTAAGCTGTCGTGTTATGGCCAAAGCTACAGGCCGACTTGCAACATCAAAAAATAAATAAATAAATTTTAAAAAATAGCGATAAAAACAACTTCTTGTATAGATGTGCAAATTAGTATTTCTCTTCATTTCTTTAAAGGCACTTCTCTAACATACTTACAAATATGCAGATGAATGTATTTACTGCACTGTGTGTGTGTGTGTGTGTGTGTGTGTGTGTGTGTGTGTGTGTGTGTGTGTGTGTGTGTGTGTGTGTGTGTGAGTGAGTAGACAGAGAAGCCACAAATTCTGTAACGTCTGTAACGCCTTTTTATTGTTAACCGCAGCAAAAATTTGTCAATTTGGTCATAAAATGCAGGCGCATATAAGAGAATGTATATAGTATATATATATATATATATATATATATAGAAAGCATTGCATACTTTTGGCTGCCAAAGACACTCGCACACACACACACACACACACACATACTTAGTCTGCGTCTTTTGTGTGCTCTGCTTAGCTTGTTAAGACATTTTTACGCTCGTTTTGTCTTCGTGCTTCACTTTTCTTTACTTTTCTCGTGCGCCCCCTCCCACTCTCTCACTCTCCCGCTCCCGTTCTATTTCCTGTTGGCGTTGCTTTCATTGCCAAATTGCATTTCCGTGCCGGGGTCAGCCAGCACTAAGACCAGTCTCACACATACACACGAATAAGCACACACACACACATACATAGATACAGTCACATTATTAAATCAATATAAAAATGCGCTCACTTTAACAATTCGCTTGTCTGGCATTCGTAATGGAATCAGCAGCCAAAAGCTTGCTTTAAAAACGCCGTAAATCCAATAAAAAAAAAGCAGCCCCATCTTTTCATCTGGATTACCCATCTTCTCATATTTTTTATTATTATTATTATTATGGTTTTTTTTCTCGAACTGCGATTTGAAAATGTGCGGAACACAAATCATAAACAACGCTGCGGGGCGTGCGAGTACGCGACTCTCGCACATTCAGTAAATATATACAGACTTATAAATACGAATACATATATACTTGTATGTATGTGTGTAAAACCCCCATCGTTCAGTCAACGCGCTTATTGAAATCTAAAGAAAAAAATAATAATTGCATGCTTTTAGGGTTGCTGCGAGAATTGAAAAGCATCGGAACTTGGGCATAAGCTGCTCCTCCTGCTGCTGTTGTTGTTGTTGTTGTTGTTGCTACTGCTGTTGTTGTTGTTGTAGTTGTGCGTGTACAGGACTTTAAGTAAAGTGCTCATTATGAAAAGTTTTGCAGGCGATTAGCAAATGGGCGACAATATAAAGTTCAGCCATCCTCCTGGTTTCTGGTCAAGTGCGACAGACCTAGACACGCTGGTGCTGTGAGTGGTTGATGGTCGATGGTCGATGTTTGCCACAGCCAGTTGTTGTTGTTGTTGCTGTTGTTGTTGCTGATGTCTTGGCGCAGCGTCTGCAAAGTTTTCAGAGGTGGCACCAACAGCCAAAGCCGAAGCAGCAGAAGCAGCAGCAGCAGCAGACACTAGACAGCCAGCAGGACAAGGAGCAGGCAGTCGAGCGCAGTAGTGGGCAGCGCCAGAAACGCGTTGCATACTTCAAGGCGTGCACGCGCGTATGGAATAACAATTTATCATTGTTCAAGCCGCTAGCCGTTGAAATTTATGTTCGCATTTTTAACGCAACATTAAGTACAATGCAAATTTAAAGCGGCAATAATACAGCAACTGCTCCTTGCCCCTTAGGATTGCAGAGCTCTTCTGTTTTTATAGCGCGCAGATTTTCGTGGCAACAACCCATGCCCATGCCCATGCCCATGCCCATGCCCATGCCCCCAAGAATGCGGCAAACAACTCTCTCAAAAGCTCATCAATTTATAGCCACAATGGGCTCGGCTCCTTCTTGCCCAAATAGGGCGATGAATCATCTCAAGTGTGCAACAAACAATAGTGTTTTCCTCGCTCTTTAATTTAAAATATGCTTTCGTTGCTTAGTGGTTCAGATAATAACCTGTAGTGGACGGTTTATTCAGAACTTTTTCGATTCTAGAAACACAAAAACTAATTCTTGCCTTTTCACCAGTTAGATGCATTTCCCCGAACACCCAAATAAATCTCAATGAGCTCAAACATTTCGTCTAAATCTATCCCATTGGGACTTGCAAATCAATTATTTCTATTATTTATAACAATTGTATATCTAAGCCCAGGTATTGTTATTAGTTTATTAGTTAATGTTATGTAACGACCTTGAGGGTCGTGGCTGGCTTATCACTTTGATAACCAACTAAAGTAACATTCTACTATACAACACCATAAATCACAACCGATATATGCGTATGATTAAAAGGGCTATCAGCTGAGAGCTTTCCGACATAGCTATACACGGACATCCTGTTCATTGTTTTGATTTTTTTTTTGGTCTTTCTAGTTGGTTATCAACATAAAACCCCAATATAAAATAAAATAAAAAATAAGCTTATTTTCATTCGTTACAAATATATTTCACAAATTGAAATGGTTTTTGGTTGAATACTGTTTATGGGTGATTTTTGAAGTTTGATTAGGTAGCTATATATTGAAGAAATCTGATTAAAAACAATTGCTTGGATATAACATGAGGAAACAAACAGCGTTAGCTAGAGCTAGACTCAAACCTGTCTCTACACCCTGAAGTTAATTAACTGTTTTATTCAACAATTTCCACGATATGCGATATACATAACTCAATTGAAGTACAAGAAAGAACGCTAAAGCTTAAGTTTTGGGAGTAAAATAAAATAAACTCGTGTAGCGTGAGGACTAGAAGCTTCTACATACAAAGTTTGTTTAATGTGCGCTCAGCGGTTTCCAAGATCCAGGCGTTCATCCAGACGGACAGACGCACAGACAGACGGACATGTCCAGATCGATTTCTCGTCATGCTGATTAAGAATATACACATATATACGTATATAACTTTTGGGGTCCGATATGTTTCCTTATGCCTGTTTTTACTTGTACTTATATGTACTTATCCTTTGGTTTATATCAAAACTTCCTTTCCTTATCCAACTCCGCCGAGCCACCTTTGCTGCTCACTAACATTCAGCGTAAATTTCAAACATAATACTACTTCAAAATAAAGTTATGAAAGCGAAATGTTAACAGTCTCGCATTGAACTTAAGACGGTGTTGTGCAATTATAGTTTTGTTACGGACCGACACATTCTTTCTATTTCTGTTATTTGTCATGAAATATCAGACTAGCTTATGGGGCTTGAACATACACTAATGCAGCATTTTTCCACTCTTTCCTCTACCCCCCACAGACGTTCATAGTGCGCGGCTCCAGTCAGCCCAACACCATGGCAGTCTCGGTGCGCTTGCCTCCGGACACGGGTCCATATATCGAACACTATCTGATACAATCGCTGGAGAATGTGATGAGTCTAGAGAGCTCACGCTTCAAATTCTCTTCCATTCCGGCACTGATAGCCCACTACGCCCAGTGCTGCGATGAGTTGCCCGTACAGTTGATGCTGCCCCGAGTGCTGCGTGAGGCGAACAATCGTAAAAAGTTGTCTTCCCTGGCACTGCTCGGCCAGGAGTTCTGGAGCTATGCAAGCAGCCCGGCAGTCGTGGGTCCACCCATTTTAGGTGCAACGCAGAAAACCTCCGCCACGGACCAGCTGTTGGATGCCAAGTCCCCGCTCTCGCTCACAGAGACCAGCGGACTAGGCACGGCAACTTTCTTCAGCGATGCACCCAAGCCATCTAACAATAACAACAACAATGTGGTTAGCTCGGCCGCACCAGCAGTAGCCAGCACGCTGTTCAGTCCCACGGGCAGTAGCCAGCTTATTGGAATGTTTAGCCAGGCAGGCACGCCCTCGGACACCAACTCAAGCATGAGCTCGTTCACGACCAGCGGCGGCCAGCACATGCCGCTGATGAGTCCCAATTCGGTGGACTCGGTCATACTGACCATGTCGCCGGTGGTTGAGACGCCCATGGGCACGTCGACTCCGCGTCCAGGCTTCCTGCCCTGCAACGGTCCCCCTGCGGAGCAACTGCCCAGCTCAGTCATCAACAATCTTAGCACATTCAAGGGCAATGGCAATACAATCAGCGCACCAAACAGCGGACCCGGCAAGCTGGTCAACAGCCTGGCCGAGCTCAACCATGGCGCTATGATCGGTGAGGTGCGGCCCCAACGACCGAAGCCCCCGAACACATTGAATCTCAAGCCGCCAGCACCGCCCTTGCGTTGGTCTAAGCCGCAGTCGCCAGACCAGCAGCTGACTGCTAGCAACAACTTTACGGTGACCACCACAGTCACCTTCTCTATGGATGGCAATGCGAACAATGGCGGTACGCAAGCCAGTGCTGCGGCGAACACAACAAATCCGGCACAGATTGTTGAGGTGACGACTCCTGCATCCACAAATCCTTTCAATTCGGTGCTCAATGGGAATCCGAGCACTTTCCAGACCTTTTCGAAGCGACTGTCGCCGGAAGGTGAATGCAAGGACACACTGTCCTCGCAGGGCTCATCAAACGAAAGTCGCTGGCAGTCGCAGTCCAGTCGCGATTCAAATAATAGCCAACGCAAAATACTTTCTCCAATAACGCCGAGCGGCGCCCAAGGATTAGCGAGCCATGGCGGCAGCAGCGGCAAGTCACGGAAGTCTCGCGCACGCTTGGAGTCTTCCACGCACTACAAGAAGTCAGATATTCTGGAGAGCCCGCAGATGTATTGCGGCAGTGCCCTGATCGACAAGACCAGCGACTATGAGGATGTCTGGTCGCCCAGTGACCAAACCCGTCTACTGACCAGTTTCAAGCCGGCGCCAGACACACTGGGTCGAGTGCACAATCGCAGGCCCGATCTGCTGGCCGAAACACGTAAGTAACTTAGGAGTTATTTGAAAGGTAGGAGGGAAGTGCTTTTAAAGTGAAAGGAACTAAGAACGATTGCTTCGTTGCTCGCAAAGGAACAGTCGTTACTTAAGAATCTGTTTAGACAACCTGACTAATACTCTTCATTGTTCGCCTTAACAATCTTCTCATGTATTCGTATATCTTTGCAGCCAGCACACCGACTCCTACAACCAATATACTATCACCATGCGACGATACGATCGTCCATGATGGCAGCCAGCAGCTGTTGCAGTTCTCCGGCGATGCGCCGCCACGTTGCCGCACCGGCCTTCTCTTGCCTGCTCCACCCAATGCTGCTGCTGGTGCTGCAGCCGCCGCCGCCATGACCCAATCATTAACAGAGCCATCCTGCCAAGCAATGGAGAGCGGCGGTGATGGCGACACCACGCCCACGGCCGGCCAAACGCCTGGCTCGCGCAGCAAGCAGGGCAGTCCCTTCTACGCAGAGCCCGCCGATGCGCTTCGCCAGGCCGCACAAGGCAATGCGGTGGTCGCTGCCATGGCGGCAAACATTTTACGTCAACAGCAACGCAATCAGCAGCTGCCCGCCAATCAGCGGCACTCGGAGCCACTGAAGGGCGGCCTGCCTTCCGTGCCGCTTCTTCTGCCCGGCGATTTCGAGAAAATGGCCGGCAGTCTTGATGAGCTGAAACAGAAGCAGAAACCGCTGGCGCAGGCGCCGACGACGCAGCAACAGCAGCCGGCAAAGCGCATTCAAAATCAAATCGAACACTGGCAGCTGGACAGTAGCTGGGAGTTTATGGCAAAGCAGGACGATGCAACGACACGCAGTGGCGCCAACTATGGCGACTATGACTCGACGGCTGACTGGCAAGAGGCGCAGGCACGCGGCCAGACCGGGCCCGAGAAGGAGAACTCCCTAGGTCGCGACAAGGATGCAAACAAGAAGCGACCATTGACCGTGCACCAAATTATTGCCAATCGATTGCCGGATCTGAATTTGCCGGAGCTAGTTCGCTGTTCCACGCCACAACAGCTCCTAGCACAGCTGCCAGCGCCTTTGCAGCCCCTGCTGCAAAGCAATCGGAGCGTTTCGGCCGCCCTATCATCGGGGGGTGGTGCCAGTGCGAGTGAGACCAATGGCAGCCAGAAGTCATTCCAGAGCCAGAACGGCTGCCGGCTGTCCTCGTACGATAATGTGGAACGCACCTGTGCCACCTCGTGGCAGAACTATTGCGGAGATATTGATTCGGCACAGTCAGACGATGGCACCATATTTTCAGAGCCGTGGGAGTCGTCGCAGTGGGACTCAAACATTCAGCATGATGGTGAGTCCAGCTCGTATCCTCATCACAAGCTAATAACTTTACATTCCTTTTTCATATGCATTTCGTTCCGGCAGAGATGACACTCACCTCGGACACCATACACCTATCCAAGTGTCCACCCGCAGTCTCCGAGGACGACACAATCGTTGAGGAACTCAACAGCACCAAAGATGGCAGCCACAGTGGCAGCAGCTGCAACCAGGACACGCTCAAGGCGAACAAAAATGGCGCCAGCAATAACAAAGTGTGTCGACCAAAGGTGGCCACCATATTGCGTAACCCCAGCATGCGAGATCGAGAAATATTATGTAAGTAGCACTAATTGTTTATACCTTGTACCCTGAACTCGTAGTGGTACAAGCTTTGTGAAAAGAAAACATCTGTATTCTCACCATGTATTCTTAATAAGCATGCTGTGAGAAAACGAACTAGGCGTGTCCGTCCGTCTGTATGAACGTCTGGATTTCGGAAACGGCTGATCGCATATTAGCCAAACTTTGTATTTAGACTCTTTAAGGCCACAGACATTACGAGTTTATTTTATTTTGTAGATTTCACTTCCCCACCCTCCAAGCTACAGAATTTCGTCAATACTGCCTATAGTTTCAAAGCTACATAAAGCAAACTTTGCAAGTCTGTTAATTAAACAGAAATTAGATAACTGTTGACTGTAGTGCTGAGCTTGTCTAAATAGGAATGTAGATTGGAATGAATTATTTGTGAGATGGAATTGTGCACATCATTATTTTGTCTCTGATCGAATGTTAATAAGTCCTAAGATTGTAAAGATAAAAGATTTACAGCTCAGTATCAAGCCGGGCTGGACATAAACATTGAAAAAGGGAAGAAAAATGAATTTACAATTTAATGTCAAGCTGGTTACCTGTAGAGATCGATATGAACTGAATCGTTGTAATCAGATAGGGGGATCTTAGCTGATCGAGCAGGTGCTTTATGATCTCCACAACTCCACAACTGTACCAACATGATTCTTAATGGCAATAAAGGATTTACGTTTTAAATTTTAACCGCTGGAGTGCGATGCTTGAGCTGAAGATCAGCCTCTAAATATTAAGCTGAGGCATCCTAGATCGGGTTTCAAAGCCAGATATAGCGTCATTGCATGCGTAATTGCAATCAATTGTGTATTGCTGTGCACAAACAAAAGAGACGATCGATTCCGACGACATCGTCATCGTCATCGTCGGCGACACTGTCATGCACCAGTGCTACAAGTATATGGCGCACGAGATTCACATTGGAACGAAAGCAAAACACAGAATCGAAAACAACAACAACAACAACAACAATAGGGGAAGTATACGCAGTATACCTAAACAGAAAGAGGAGACGAGAGCCCTGGCAAATATTTACAAGCGATCGACAACAACAACAACAAATAAGTACATACCCGTATGCCTTACAACGCTATCGTGGCAGCCACAAACCCATGCCGGTTGCAACCGGAATTCTTTGGCGGGAGCTACGATGTCGCCGTCGGTACAAGTATCAGAGACTGCGGCAGCGGCGCAACTTTGTTGAATGCAACCAGGCCGCCGACGACGATGGCAACGACTACAAAGCACTGCCGAAACTTATCTGCTGCGCAACCCTAGCCATCCCCCTCCAGCACCCCTGCCCCCACTCCTAGCCCTAGGCCTAGCCCTTAGCCCCAATCCCAGCAGCACCCCGAACGAAAAAATGCGTCGCAGTTTGCAAACTAAAGCCAAACAATTTGATAAGTTTTGATTGCAATAACAGTAGCAGAACTCGTCGTCGAAGTCGTAGTCTGCATAAATATTGGACCAGCCTGCGTCAGCGTCGACGTCCACACGCTGCCGCCATTGCTGCACTTTGGAATGTAAACCAAATCAAATGCTGGCTTTTTATCAGCGCCTTCACTCACTGCTTCACTGCTCAATGGGATGCGTAATTTGCGAGGCGTCCATCCATCCATTGCCGACAGACCCCAGCCACACGCCCGGATCTATTCTGGGTCAATGTAATGCTGATGCAATGCACACACAAACAGCGGGCGGGCGGCCCGACCGACGGACACCGCTCCTATTTATAGCAACTGTCTAAATTTATTTCACACCATCGATGGTCGGTGTTTCAACGAAGTGGATAAGAAGCTATCGTAATGCCAGAGCGTGGGAAAGGAAGAAAAAAAAAAAAAACAAGAAATGAAAGACACCATGACCTGAGAGCATGATGAACAAGATAAATACTTTTATGCCAACACAGATCTAAAAGGTATTATATGTATTCGCTGATCAAACCTCTGTTCTTTTAACTAGCCAGTCAGCCAGTTTTTGCAATCAATTTTGAAGATTCAGGCTGGCAAGTCCTACAAACATTATACTTCTTTATCAGCATTATTTATCACATATATCTTTAGTGGATAGCTATTTTTGAAGTCTCCTCTATGATTCATACTCTTTCTACTACCCGTTCTAGACCACAGCTTTATTTCAACAAACCCTAAAATACCGCCCTCTCTCTCTCTTCTTAATTATCCGCGCTCCTTCATCTCTACAACCTTATCTGAGTATTAAAGTTAAAGCTTAAATAGATCACTTTTTAAAAATGGCTTTTTCTTAGTCAGCTTAAATGCACCAATATTTTTAGTGGAATAGCTATTTTAGAAGTATCCTCCATAGTCCTCGATCTAGTCAGGAGTTTCCGTTACAACAAACCTCATTTCTTTCGTCAGTCTTCTTAATTCTCCGCGCTGCTTCATCTTCCCAAGCGTATATTAAAGTTAAGACTTAAGTATATCAGTTTAAACAAATGTCTCTTTCTTTGCACTTCCTGACCTTTGATAAAAAGAGACTGGTTTTAAGATTTCTCTATGAAATCTTAAATCTTTATGGGTGGTTGATAAAACCCAATCTAATCAGAATGAAATCTAGATAAAAGTCAAAACTAAAACATTTGCCAGCGAAAAAAACTTCTCATCTCTCTTTGTCAACTAAAAAAAATGAGATGACATGGGAGAAGAGGATTATGAAGAGTCGTCTCTTAATTAGTTTGTGTTTAGTTGCCTGACAACTGCTATAGTTTAGTTTTGTTTTTGATTTCTTAACGACCATTATTAAAATGTAATCTCTTGCTTTAGTAACAGCACGAGCATATATCTCAGAGATAAGTGGAATGCGCACGCCAAAACAATATTTTTAGACTGATATCACATTATCAGATTAGAATAGTTCGCTGAACCTAATTAATGCGGGCACCTTGAATCGCATCGTTGTGTACAAGGTTTATAAAAATATTAACTATCATTAGATTGGTTTGTTGCCACAACACTTCGTGCCAGAAATCGTGTAGAAGAAAATAAGCTTGAGGAATACAGCCTTTCAGCTTTACTTCCTCATCGCATCTCATAAGTAGTATACAAGTAGTATGTATGGTAGCCCCAACCTATAAACCTGCGTTCCAATAAAGGTTTTTCCAAATGGCGCAGTTCGGAAAAACTTCTAACAAATGGCTGATGCAATTACCATTTGCCATTGCAGCAAATGCTTAGCTCGGAACGCATCCGATCGGATCAGATCGGATCGATTCAGCCCCGTCCTCATCGCCTCACCCCACCCCGCTCCACCCCGACTTAGCTTGGCTTGGCTGGTATCTCGTGCGTGGTGCCTCTATTGTTGTCTGTTTTGGTTGGTGGCGTCATTTTCATTTTTCTAAGCAGCGGCAGAAGCTGAAGCTGAAGCAGACGTTCGCAATCAGTAGCCAGCGTGGCTTTATGCTGATAAGCAGATGGGAGAGTGAGCTGAACGGCTGCTCAAGAAGGGGCATTGAGAAAGGCTTACAAACGCTCTTACATGCGAGTATATAATTGAAAAACTGGAGCATACACTCATTGGATGGGTTCACACAAAACACAAATAAATGCCAGGGCGAGCAGAATCAGGGCAGGCTAGACTGGGGTGAATACAAGTATTTAGGAATTTTAAGAATGAAACGAATTAACTGAAAAGGGCAGATCATTCCAAGCAGCTAATGAGTTCCTTCTTCAAGAATACTCCAAACTTCAATTGGGAAAATTCAACTTCTACTTTAAACTTTGATTGAGAAAATTCAACTTCTACTTTAAACTTTGATTGAGAAAATTCAACTTCTACTTTAAACCTTAATTGAGAAAATTCAACTTCTACTTTAAACCTTAATTGAGAAAATTCAACTTCTACTTTAAACTTTGATTGAGAAAATTCAACTTCTACTTTAAACTTTGATTGAGAAAATTCAACTTCTACTTTAAACCTTAATTGAGAAAATTCAACTTCTACTTTAAACTTTGATTGAGAAAATTCAACTTCTACTTTAAACTTTGATTGAGAAAATTCAACGTCTACTTTAAACCTTAATTGAGAAAATTCAACTTCTACTTTAAACTTTGATTGAGAAAATTCAACTTCTACTTTAAACTTTGATTGAGAAAATTCAACTTCTACTTTAAACCTTAATTGAGAAAATTCAACTTCTACTTTAAGCCTTAATTGAGAAAATTCAACTTCTACTTTAAACTTTGATTGAGAAAATTCAACTTCTACTTTAAACCTTAATTGAGAAAATTCAACTTCTACTTTAAACTTTGATTGAGAAAATTCAACTTCTACTTTAAACTTTGATTGAGAAAATTCAACGTCTACTTTAAACCTTAATTGAGAAAATTCAACTTCTACTTTAAACTTTGATTGAGAAAATTCAACTTCTACTTTAAACTTTGATTGAGAAAATTCAACTTCTACTTTAAACTTTAATTGAGAAAATTCAACTTCTACTTTAAACATTAATTGAGAAAATTCAACTTCTACTTTAAACTTTAATTGAGAAAATTCAACTTCTACTTTAAACATTAATTGAGAAAATTCAACTTCTACTTTAAACTTTGATTGAGAAAATTCAACTTCTACTTTAAACTTTGATTGAGAAAATTCAACTTCTACTTTAAACTTTGATTGAGAAAATTCAACTTCTACTTTAAACTTTGATTGAGAAAATTCAACTTCTACTTTAAACTTTGATTGAGAAAATTCAACTTCTACTTTAAACTTTGATTGAGAAAATTCAACTTCTACTTTAAACCTTAATTGAGAAAATTCAACTTCTACTTTAAACCTTAATTGAGAAAATTCAACTTCTACTTTAAACTTTGATTGAGAAAATTCAACTTCTACTTTAAACTTTGATTGAGAAAATTCAACTTCTACTTTAAACCTTAATTGAGAAAATTCAACTTCTACTTTAAACCTTAATTGAGAAAATTCAACTTCTACTTTAAACCTTAATTGAGAAAATTCAACTTCTACTTTAAACTTTAATTGAGAAAATTCAACTTCTACTTTAAACATTAATTGAGAAAATTCAACTTCTACTTTAAACTTTGATTGAGAAAATTAGACTTCTATTTCAAACTTCAATTGAGAAAATGAATCTATATATTGAACTAACAGAGGCACCAAAAAGAGGGAGTCACTAATAAACAAAAATTAGTTCGTTAACAAGGATCTCTTGCGATTAAATATATTCTCGGCACTGCCTACGTTCCTATAGTTTTTAATATTGTCTGTGAATCAAGTATTTAAAAGATTTTAAAGTTTAGTTTTTTATCTGCTCATTTCTGTGCTTTATCACTAATTTTCGCAGATCGGTGGAAGCCATTGCTAGGCACGAAATCTTTTGAGAAAGCTTCTTAAAAATACGAGAATTTCTAGAAGCAAGCAAGATCTAATATTTTAAGAAACGAGGAATTTCCTTTTATTGGCGGTGCACGGCTCAAAGAAAAAAGTGTCAAATCAGGGCAGGAATATGGTCTGTTACTTATGTATATCTTCCTAAGGATACATCTAAAGTTTAGGTTCTTTCGGTTTCTTCAACGAAAATAGAGATATAGATAAGCTACAAAACTGCATCATTAGTTTTATTTCCCTAGTTCTGTCAGTCGTGTGTAGACTGTATCTTCGATTATTTTGCTTAACATTTGAAGCAGTTAATCCGAGGGAATACCCAAATTTTGTATTACTTTAAATGAGAAGGAAGAGAGCGCGGAATGAGCTACTCCGCGGTTATTCCCGTCTTGAATGCGTCATTTCTGTGAATTACAATTGCTGCCTGGGCGGTACAAATGGATAACGCTTATGCACTTGTACTTGTATAATCGTACTTAGTACGTATTTGTAGTTTACGGTTGAACAGTAATTTGTCATGCTGCGGGAAATCGCGGCACTTACTCCTCCATAGCTGCTGCTATTCTCGATAACTAATTGGTTCAAGTTGCGGTCTACAGATGTTTGCACAATACGAGTGCGAGTATAGCCTCGTATGCTTTGTAACGCTGATAAATACCCAGTCTGCTCGATTTGCAGTTGGCACGCCATGAATCAACCCACAGGCATGGATTAGCTCGCCATAATCGAAGCGTGCCCTCCTCCTCGTCCTCCTACTCCTCCTGCCAATGGACTGTTGTGGCTGACTGGCAAGTCAATTGAGGCGACACTCATAGCCACAAGTGGCTATGGTGGTGGTGGCGGTGGCGGTGGCGGTTCAGGTAGTGTCCAGAACTACGACCTACCTGGGGGTAACAACCTCAGAGAGACAGTGGAAGGTGTGTGCACGTGTTGTCCTCCCTCACACCTGAAACGTGGTTGCGCCACGTCAACAGCCTGCGGTGTTGCATTGATCTCTCTCGAGAAGGGGTTGGAACTGAGTCATGGCTATTTCCTCTTAACCCAGTTTTGTCGAGGCACGCGAGCGAGATAACTCGGGCAGCCAGCTCGAACCGCAATCAATTTGTAATCTCGCTGCCGGACTCTCTATCTGTCTCTCTGTCAGGCTGCCCGTCAGTTTAGAGCTTGAAGCCAACTCAGGCCCCATTTGTATACCCGTATATTAGTATATTATGGCAAATGGGTAGATCTTGTATAAACGATCAGCGGAGACTCGATCTGAACTGTTTATTAATGTTTTCGACCGAAGATAAATACTACCTGCTAGCAAGAGCTATGAAGACTTTAAATTCAAAAGTAATTGGAAAAGTAATTGGATAGATGTTTATACAAGATCAGCAGCGCGATCTAAACTATTATATTATATCCGATCTATTTATTAATGTTTTCAACCGAAGATAGTTACTACTAGCTAGCAAGAGTCACATCGACAAGTCATACGAATATCTTTATGTTGGGACATTCAAATGGCACAGGCATTTGAAAATACTTAGCGCTATACTTGTATTCCTGTGGTTGCTGGTTAGCTCAGCTATTTGATTTCGTTGAGAGCACTTCGCACTACCTGTTCAGTTGAGAATTGTGCGGCAAGTTAAGGAACAATGTTGCAATCGAGAACGTACTACGAGCACCCGTATACCTGGGCTGGCGGGCGATGCGGAAATTCCCGGACAGGATCGCAAATGCAGCTGCATCCTCTACCTGTGAGGATGCAAACGGAGAGCTGAGCAAGCGACGAGCTTAGGCAAAAATTCAAATGAGGTCGAGCAGTGGTCGAAATTCAGGGCGCAGTGACGCGCTCGCGCTGTCGTCGTAGACGCTATCTTTTGTGCCTGCGCCGCAACTGCGCTGCCGATGCCGCTGCCGGCGTCGGCGGCGACGTCGACGATCAGTCATCGTCTTATAAACTAATGCGTATGAAGTTCGGAATTAGTTTTGCATTCGCCGTGCTTAGAGCAACATCAACATCAGTGCAATCGCAATCGTAGTCGCAAAAGCCGACGACGAGCCGAGCAACGACCAGCCGAGACCATCAGCAGCCATAGAGAGAAGAGCGAAGAGCAGAGAACCATCGTGTGCCAGTTTTCCAGTGTGTGCCGATGAGAAACTTGCGTTTTCGTCAATTCGTATTAGCTGGAAAAAATCGTTACAGAATCCATCATGAGCTGGTTCAGAAGATCGTCGCGCGCAAGCCACGCGAACCGCCTACATAGTGAGAGCGATCTGCGCGGCCCCGAGGGGAAAGGGCAGCATCTGGATATGTCGAAGTCGCTGTGCAGCCTGGACGAGCGGTGCATTGAGCGCCTGGAACCGGAGGAGTTCTTTCACGATCCCGACCATGTGCGACACTACAAGGAGGAGGCCGTCTTCCTCAGCATAATGGCCGAGTGGGAAATTGTGGAGCATCCCTCACAGGAGAACTACTTCTCGGCCGATTTTGAGGAGGAGTTGCTGCAACGACACACACACACACACACGTCCCGCCCCACGCACCCAGATGTAGATCTCGAGCAAGATGTGGAGCTAAGCAAGCCGCTGTCCCTGTCAGGTGTACGGCGCAAGCGCAAGTTCTACGAATTACTGTTCGTGGACAACATCCAAACGGGCATTTTGCTGCCGGACGACAACGGCGGCTGCATGCCACGATCCCCGCGCACGGAGTCCAGTGCGGCGCATTGCAAAAAGTCGAAATACGCGAGCAGCCAAAGCAGCGGACTCAGCTCGATCTCCATGGACACTAGTCTGTCCAATCGCACCTGCCCCAAACAGGTGCTTAAAGACTGTCGCATTAATCGCAAGCAACTGAAGACTGAGGCACTGGCCGGCTCTATAATGGGCGCCATTGGCAAGTGTCCGAGCAAGGACGAAACGTTGGCCACCACAAGAGCGAGTCGCAACACAAATTCGAATTTGAATTCGAACTCGAACTGCTCGAACCTTAACGACGAAGACGACGCCTGCCATCCGGCCGAGCTCAACACCTGTGATCATTACGATATTAAGAAGTTTTTTCGACTCGACGATCAGGGAAACATACTGCTGAACATGTCACACATTGAGGAGTGCCGGGGTTTTGGGTTCGCGGCGACGACCCAAACGCAGAGTCGTCGTCTCTATAGGCGCTATCGGCGCAGGTGCGAGTGCATCGACGAGGACTATTGCCGAGAACGCGGCTGCTGTGCACTGCTCCAACGCGTACTCTGCCTGTTCTGGCAACTCATGAGTGGTGAGTGGGTGGGTTTAGGGAGAGACTAATGAGAGACCTACATCCTTTTTAGACTGCCTGCTTCAGTGGAATATACGTAGATTAAGCATCAAGTGTTCCACTTAATTGCCTTGTATTAGTCCAATATATTTCAATCTCTCTCTCTCTCTCTCTCTCTCTCTGTGAGAGTTGCAGCTTAAGATTACTTTATATCCTTGATATCCTTTTCAGCGAACTCTATCTGATATTTCTCTCTCCTTCCCTGTCGTTGCAGGCCACCCCCGTAATAAGATCAATGTGCACAGCGCCGGTCCTGGTGATACGCTGCGCGCCTACACGCTCCAGCTGGCTCGGGATCCGAGCTCAACGTTCGCCCGCAACATCGAGAACTTCATCTGTTGCACGAAGGAATCGCGCGAGGCAGCCCCCCAGGTAATCATGCGGAACATGCGCCAGTTCATGAGCGGCATGAAGAACTATCTAGTGAAGCATGGCGAGGGGAAGTTCCATGCCGAGATGCAAGCGGCACGAACGCGCCTCAAGGCCGACGAGTTCCTCAATCTGGACGCCATACTTGAGACTGTGATGCACCAGCTGGTGGTGTTGCCGCTACGGGAGCATCTCTACGGCATTTTCGTCGACTATTACAAGCGCTCCGAGGACATCCAACTGCTCGCCCAGAATGTCAAATACGCCTGCGAACGGGATCCGGTCGATTTTGGAATACGGCCGACTGTGACGCCGCCATCGCAGTCGGCGTTGCGCATCATCGCCAACCTCCTGTGGCGTCTGCAAGAGGCCGAATTGCCGCTGGACAAGCTCGAGCTCTTCCTCTGCGTCATCTCGACGGTGTTCGATGCCACCGGATGTCCGCGTGGCCAGCAGCTGGGCGCCGACGATTTTCTGCCCGTGCTCGTCTATGTGGTGGCCAAGTGCGGTTTTGTTGGCGCCGAAATCGAGGCCGAATTCATGTGGGGTCTCCTGCAGCCCACGCTGCTCAATGGCGAGCCAGGATATTATCTGACCGCGCTCTGCAGCGCCGTTCAAGTGCTCAAGACGTTCATGTCCTCCGAAAACGAAAGCGGCAGCGGCTCGCTGGATGTAAGTACACAGCTCACAAATCTATATTTATTTCCATTGCATTCGATTTCATATCTGGTTTTTCCCTCTATTCGCAGTGGCGCGCCCCCTGTCTGCCGGCCTGCTCCAGCGTCCTGCGCGTCATTATACCGAATGAGTGCAATGGCTCGCTACAGACCCGAACACTGCCCGTACGCCCGCACACGACAACGCGCGAGGTGTGCCGCATTATTGCGCACAAGGCGCGCATCACCAATCCGCAGGACTATGCGCTCTTCAAGCTCGTCGACGGCGAGGAGACGCTCCTCACCGATGCCGAATGCCCCCAGGATGTCCGTCTGGCGGCCAAAGGCAAGCATTGCATGCTCGCCTACAAGCGCATTGATGCGAAAATTGCTTGGCCCACGGCTACGCAGCCCAGCAATTAAGGCCCCTATCCCCAATTCCCACTCCCCAGTCCCCAGTCCCCCTACTACCCGCAAACTGCTCACTAACTGGCATATTTGATTAATAATTTATTATTATTACATTAAAATATACTTAGTAGCTTGTAAGTAAAGCTAATACATAAATAATACATACATACATATATATACATCTAATGTGTACTAAAACGAAACAGTATTGAGTTAAGCACGCGGTTTTTTTTTTTCTAATTACAATATGGTTATACTTTTTTTGTCTAATAAATATACACAAAAGAACATTTTTAATACATACTTATACCTATATTTATTGATATCTACAAACAAATATAGTATATGAGAGATGGCGATGCTTTCTTGTAGACAGACGACTGCCGTCGCATCATTTTCAAACAGAATCGTATTTACACACACATACACACTATATATACGTACATATAAAGATATATATCAACTGGAACCAATCTACGAAACAACAACAGTTCAATCGTCAAACAATCAAAAACAAAATATTTAGAAAACAACAAACGGAAAGAAGAAACGAACAAAAATAGCGAATGAAGCGAATCAATTGCTCTAAAACTTCAGTCTTACCAGCGGCGCAGCGCTCGAAAAACTGTCAGCAATTAGTGTTGCACAGTGACTCGTCAACTGTTGCACACACTGTGCTATAATTTCTGTAAAACGCATTTAATATGTAATTTTTGTTTAAACATTGCATAATACATGTAATTATAATATTTATGTAATACACGAAGCCAACATATACGGTATATATAGCGATTTTTTTTTTGTATACTTTGTAAAATATATGACAAGTAATCAGATAGCAAGCAGGCAAGGCAATTATTTAATATTAATAATAACAATAAACATTATTAATGGAAAAATGCTATGGTTTTGTTTTTCTTCTCGTCAAAAAGAAATTGAAATTGAAATAAATTCAATTCAACGAATTAAATAAATAATTGAATATACTTTGGATTTCGTTTTAGCGGTGCATTGCGAATTGTAAACAATCTGCATTTCGAATGTAAACAAATATCAGCTGTCCGACATTTAAAGCAACCAACTAATGCATTTCCCTACTCCTCATTTATGATCGCCTGGTAAAAATGGGTGGCTTAAAAGTCGTTTAAAAGGCCGCCGCCACCTTGTTCAAAATTCGTTTTTTTGGATTTTGCACGAATTTCCAAGCATTTAATGTACTCATACACCAGGCGAACATAAGTGAACAGCAAGTAAACAAGCCGGCTGGGTTTTAAATGATGCATGTAAACAAAAATCAGCTGGCTGCGTGATCCTAACGGTGCATTGCGAATTGTAAACAAACGCGATCCTTACGGTGCTTTGCAAAAAGTAAACAACCTGCATTTGAATGTAAACAAAAATCAGCTGCCCAACATTAAGTAAACAAGAAATGCATTTGCTTACTCCTTATTTATGTTTGCCTGGTAGAAAAGGGTGGCCTAAAAGTTATTACAAGGCCCACCGAACTAGGTTGGAAATTAATTTTTTCAGATTTTGTACGCATTTCGATGCCTTTCACGTATTCATATACCAGGCGAGCAAAAGTGAACAGCACGTAAACAAGCTGGCTGGAACTTAAATTGTGAATGTAAGCAAATAGCACTGGTTCACAATAGCTGCATGATTCTTACGGTGCATTGCCAAAAGTAAACAAAACGAGATGTAAACAAACGCGATCTTTACGGTGCTTTGCAAAATGTAAACAAAATGCACTTCTCCCATTGGCTGCATGAAATATAAACAAGAGCAATTCTAACTGTGCATTGCAAAGTGTAAACAAAAAGCAGCTGTTTAGCTTTAAATAAACAAGCAATGCATCTGCCTACTCCTCATTTATGTTCGGCTGGTAGATAGAGCTGGTATAAGCGTCGTTTAAAGGCCGCCGACGCCGCACTTGGTTGGAATTATTTTTTTCGGTTTCTATAAGCATTTGGTGTATTCATACACCACACGCGGAGATTGGCACCCAATAATTGCAATTAATGCTTACTTATTTGGCAAATTCCTTCAATCGATCATGCATACTTACCATATCCATTAGAATAAAAAATTTGCATTATTTATTTTACTGATTAATTATATTTTTCATTTTTTAAGTTTAAGTTTGTTGTTGATTTTAATAGCATGCTTTGAAGTTAATTTACAATATAGAATTTAATTCATAGCTTTGAAAATTATGTGGCTGCATACTTGTATTTCAACATAATTCCATGCCTTATAAATTTGTGTATATATGGTTTATTTTCATTTAATGAAAATGAATAAATTAAAAAAAAAAACGAGCTACATGTTTTATGCAAAGTGAAAAATGTAGCAGACAGAAGGATGATTAAAGAACTTATATATATTCTTGATTGACACGAAAAGACATAGCCATGTCCATTTGTCCGCCTTTCTGGATGCGCACCTGGATTTCGCAGACCGCTAAACGAAATTAAAACTGTTTTAAAAATTGGAAGTTTTGGCGATAAGAAGTTTCTTCTCTAGCAGGTCTTATATGAGACACATTTGAAAAAAGAGCGCTATAAACGCTTACCATTATCTTATCTTACCATTTTATAAGAAGTGCAATTGTTAGCAACAATATTTTGGCGCGATTTGGAAACTATTCACTATGCTCGATCCACCATGGCATTGAAAAATATCGAAAATGAGAAACCTAAATAGCAACGGACAAGTAGCTGAAGTTTTAGAGAGAACTGGCTACTCCTCTAAAAAAGTGGGTACAAGACTTAATGCAGACAACAACAAAAGAAAAATTCGTTACAAAATATGAAAAAATAATTTTTATAGATTAAAATTAAAAATTAATATATACCGATAGAGAGGCACATTGTGCTGTCTTTTGAGGTTATTTATCGCAATTTCTTAACTATGTTTGGAGTATGGCCCATATTTGATTAGACATGGCTATCAGCAGAATAGTAAATAGTTAAGTGCTTAGTTAAACAATTTATTATTATTACTAGACAGAGACACTCGCAAACCCCACTTGTTTGTCGCGCTACTTTCTAACATTTGTTTATCAGCCCACCGAGCTGGGGCCTCAAACCATATTTCCGAATGATTTATAATGTTTTTTATTCGCGTTCTCCGCCGTTTAATAACATCGACCTGCAATAGAATAAATATTTAGTAATTCTTTCTACTCAAATGGATAACATTTGAGCGAAAAATTGACATTCCTTGATTTGTATAATGGATAAAACCTGGCAGTAGCTAATTCGATTATAATGTGTGCCGATTTGTTTATAATGTTGCACTCAGGCTTCGACCGGAAGTGTTTGTTCAAAATACGGGCATACGAGTGGAATAAATTGCACAAAAATGGGCCTGAAGTGAGAAGAATTGTGGTCGAACATCGTCGTGTCGGCAGTCGTGAGATTGCTTCAGACCTGGACGTCTGATTCGGGCGTTACGAAACCCATTATGAGTAGAATTGTGGAAATATTGCAGCACTCAGCCCTTATACTTGTATTCTCAATTTATTCTCTTCTCAAAACTCAAATCACTGCTAAGGGCACACCATTGGGACCAGCAAACAAAATTCAAAGAAGGGGCTGAAAGCGATCCCTTTTATGGCCAGCCAGAAAGTTATTATTTAGCTTTATTTCTTTTTTTTTTTTAAAAAAAGAAAAAGATGTAGCAATTTTTTGATCCCGCCCATAATAACTCAATATTTGTTTATAGCGGCCAGTTCGGAAATAGAAATTTCTTATGTCTGAGCTCCTAACATTCAAATGCAGAGGACTTTGCCTGATTCGGCCTAATGCTGGCATTCTTACAGTTACAACATACAGCGACTCACACTGATATATAATAATGTTAATAATATTATTGTATTTATTTAAATATTCTTTTGGGGAGGTAGACATGGAGTAAACCTTTATTTCAGTGGAAATTTCCCCAAGCCTGTGAGCAGAAAAGAGTCTTAAAACCAAATTAAGAAACGATCAGTGCTCGTCACTCTAGAATATAAATAGAAATGATTTTCTTTCTCTCTCTCTCTCTCTTTGGAATGACATTCGAGTCAGTCGGGAAGATTTTAAACAGGACTGATATGAGTCGATACTCCCACAGAAAATAAGACCAGGAAATAAGGAAAACAATCAATTATCAACGTTCCACTGTCTTTTTATCTCTCTGTCTGCCTGTTTGGATTGACACTTGAGCTGGTCCCACAGTCAAACAGTCAGTCAGTCAGTCAGTCAGTCAGTTATCAGGCTCGGATTGAGGCGTTGGCACAAATTCTCACACACACGCACACACAGTGGCAGATAATTGATTTCCAAATGGATTATGTGACAGGGTCAGAAACGACTTAGACATATGTGCTTAGGAATATCAACAGCTCTAATGTCGCCAGATTGTCGCATCTATTTCGCAACGAAGCAGCAGCGAGAAAAAGAAAACAAAAACAAAACTAAATAATAAATACAAATAAATAGAAGCGTCTCTATGGCGCGTTTTAATCTTTACACGTACATGCAAATTTTTTGTTCTCGCATATAATTAGTGCCTTGTTTTGATAGAAAATTAAGCTAAATGTGATAAGGACCACACACACACACTCTCACACTCAGACACACTCACACACACAGACACATAGGCGCTTGCGCACGTCATTTGTGCGCCTTTCGGAACGTGCGCAAAAACGCGTGGGAAACGCGCCGGAAACGCGCCCAGTGGCGCCTTCTGCCTCCGAACGACCCCACAGACATGCGGCCGCCACTGTCCGCCGCAACACTGTTGTTGTGTGTTGTTTTCCATACAGCGCCTGATATATGCGAGTTTATGGCACGTGGAGCTTGCACCAGCCATAAATTCTACCGATTATACAGATAGACATATGTATGTCCACAAATGGCAATAAAATAAAATTACAAAAAAAAAGAGGGGGGAAAAATTGAGCGCCCTCATGCTAGCGCTTCCATATTTTTCGATGCCCGCTATCAGTGGCGGCGGCGGCGGCCGCGTCGCACAACAACAATAATAATAATAATAGCAACAATAGTAGCAACAAAGGTCCAATGACGCGATAATAAAGAACTTTTTTTAACACCACATGTGTCCACAACAGCTGCCGTCCAGCCAGAGAGCGAAGATCTCAGCTATATAGAAGTACATGGCTATATAGACGATTTAAATCGGAACGGACATTTGGACAGGGGGGGTCGCTGCTTTGATTAGAAAGGCAATTCAAACATTAATTATTGCCTTCAATGGACACGGGCTGTTTGATAACTTTGCTATTTAAGGCGTTTGTTTATGGCACCAGCCTTTGTCTGCGATAACTGAGAAATTGGGGGGCGGCTCGTACACCTCGCCAGATGGGGGGTGGTTGTTGCGAGCACTTCTGACTCTGACTCACCAACAACCTCACCTCAAATACAAAATGCAATAAAGTAGCCGTTGCCGTAGCCGTAGCCCCTTTTATAATAATAAACGCAGAGCTGATAATGAAACTTATCCCCGACCCACTGTACTGTGATCCCACAGATGGGTTTATAATTAAAACACAATTGTTTGCAAGCTTACAAGAAAAGCAGGCCAGAGGAGGTCAGCGACTGAAGAGCCAAACGAACCGAGTCGGCTTTCAAACAGTAAGGAGTCCCGGAAAAGTTCTGAAAGCTGGCAATGCCCGCTGGTTTGGAAGCGACTGCTAAGCCAAGAGGGAACTAGGACCCTTCAATTGATCTTTCCACAGATCTCTCTACACAGTCAATAGAGGAGTGTGGCGCCTCGGAGCTGGTAAGTTCGTTTCCTGCCAGACTTGCTGCTAACATTTTAACAAGAATAGGTTTCTAGCACAGGTCAGCTTTCATTTCAGAAAAATCAATTTTCTTTTAATCTAGCTCTTACGTTCAAACTATAACGTTTAATCGTCTCAGCACATGACCACTTTCTTAACAATCCTGCCTTTTAGTAAGAAGCTTCGAAATGTTAACTTATGGTGACCCCGTTCCTTAATCTGATGGTACTTTGTGCAAAGACAAAGCCTGTAGTACATCTCCATTCCCTTCAAACATTATTATATCCAGAGCTCTTTAGGCTTTCGCATAATTTCAATAATAGAACGAAATAGTACATCTTTTCCGCCTTCGCTGCGTTGTACATTAGTTCTAACTCGGAGCTTAATTCAAGTTTTCATTACTAACCCATAGTGGGAGAACATTAACATCACTCCAATATCTTGCACCTGCTCTAAGAATATTTTATTAATATCTGGTCGACTCAAAGATACAGCTCCATCTTTAAGAAAATGTTGCATCAAACAACTGGTTTGAATTGTAATTCATATCAATATTAAGGAGTTACCAATATTCTACGATGTTAATATTTTACACACCCATTTACTTTCAATCCCAATTGTATTTTCGAATGAAGGAAGGAAGCTTTAAACTTAGAGCATATAGAGGTATGCTAGTCAGTTTTGTATAGCACAAAGAATTCAGCTTTTTCCCGAAGCTGCGATCAGACGTGCAAATAATTTGCACACAAATTTGTGTATTTCTTTTGACAAGGAAGCCTACTCAAGAAGCTTGTTGCAGCAGAAAACTATATTCCCCATTGTTTTCAGTTGAAACACTAGCAACAAAATATTAAGAGCACGCTCATAAACCCGACAAATTATTTGCCTGTGCGACCAAGCCTTGGTTCAATAAACACCCAAACAATCAGATAAAAGATGAAATCACTTTTGAAAAACTTGTAATATTCTAAGATCTATTTAAGATCTAACTTTTTAAGCTACCCACGACATCAAATGGGCTGTGTACCTTTGTTCGACTGATAACAGGCTACTGAGAGTAGGAGAGCGAGAGAGGGAGAGAGAGAGAGGCCTAACATTACGCATACGCTCTGTGCACCAGAAAATGTGAAAGAAGCTAACCCAGCCGGTGGCGCCGACACAGCTGTCGCCAGAGAGAAGAAAGAAAGAAACGTGTCGAGAGAGAGCTTGCGCCGTTGCTCGGCTCAACTCGGCTTAGTTCGGCTCAGCTCGGCTCAAGTCGAATCGGCTGCGAAGCTCGATAGAACACACACAGCTGTGCCAACAACAGACAACACAGAAGCGGTCGGCAGTCGCATTCGTTGGCCAGTCTGCTGGGAGTCGAGCGCGCGTCGCGTCGGTTTTATACGAACTCGAATGCGAGTGTGGGATCTAGCTTTTGGCGTTTGCATTGATTTCGTTTTCTATATACATATATAAATTTTTTTTGTTCGATTTCGATTCAGTCGATTTGTTTTACGCCGCAGCAGCTCGGCGGCCCATACCCAAATCTAATGCTATGTGAGTGCGCGCCAGAGCAGAGCCTCCTATACGAGTATAGCTATAAATTATAGTCGTCCGCATATAAACAGAAATTGAAAAGAAACGTAAATTGAAAACGTGCGAGCAGAATCAGCAATCATCTAAGGCCATAATAAATAGCAACAAGGCAACAAAGACATGATGGAGGTCTACACATCGGACAGCTCCGACACGGACTCGCGCGAGCAGAAGACCCTAGACTTTGGCCGGATGAACCTGGACGTCGTCACCCTCGAGGATTATCTCAGTTCGCCGCAGAAGGCGCTACTGAAGTCGAGCGGCGACATTGAGACGATGCTGTTGAACCACAATCGGCTGGCGGCGCTGCCGAAATCGCTTCGCCAATTTGGTAACCTTAAGGTGCTCGATCTTAGCTCCAATGCACTGACGATGCTGCCCGATGCCATTTGCCAGCTGCCTCTGGTCACACTGATTGCGAAGAACAATCTGTTGACGAACGCATCGCTGCCCAAATCTCTGCTCACCAAGCAGCCGAATGGTGGCGGCGCCACAGGCACCTCCACACTCAAGGAGCTCAACCTGAGCGGCAATCAGCTGACACACTTTCCCGAGCAGGTGACCGATCTGCGACAGCTCAAGTATCTGTATGTGGGCGGCAACAAGATCTCGACCATATCGAAGGACATCTGGAAGATGCAAAGGTAGGGTGATGTCTTGGTCGGCCACACACACGCACACGACCATCGATAGCTGCTAATCACCACCATTGTCTGACCCCGCACTCCCAAAAGCTATCACACCTATCTCTAACTCTCCATCTCTCTCTCTGTCTCTGTTTCTACTCTCACACTGACTTTATTTCTATCAGATCTCGCGCCATGAATCAATGAGCATTGTCTAGACTAAGCTTTATGCTTAATGATCCATCTCCCCTTCCATCCATCCATCCCTCCCCACTTTGTTTATCTGTCTGTCTGTCTGTCTGCCTGCCTGTCTGTATGTTTGTGAGTTTGTTTGCTTAAGTGTTCGCTTCAAACTCGAGTAAATAACATACATATGTATATAGTAGTATGTAGTACATATGTATAATTTCGGAGCTTGCTCAAATGATCGAATTATGAACGCTTTTGTGTCAAAGTCTAAAACTAAAGTGTGGTCGATTTGGTTGCCAGGCGTGTGCGCCGCCGAACTACAAAACAACTCGCGCTGATAGCGGCGATACGTACCAGTACAAACATACATATGTACGGGTATGTACATACATACATACCAGACATATGTAAGCCAAGTACCCCGGCCCGGCCCGGTAACAAAATCAGCATCGTAAAACCCAAATCTAGCGAAAACATCCACTCCACCTCAACGATTTGGGCCCGCCATAAAGATAGGCATATTACAATAATAAACTAAACAATAAACAAACAAGATAGGACTCTATAATGACCGCACCAGACTACAGGGTACACTGAAAGCCACCCCAGCTTGCTAGCTGCCAGAGAAAGATCTATGCCAAGCATATGAAGCATATAGTATGCATAATATACTATGTAGCCTTTACAATCATCAAAATATTGTCGTTCAAACATGCAAACATTAAGCAGAAACAGACACATTTCATTCGAGTCTTGAATTTTCAGAAGAAAGTTTGATTATCAGAGCCCAGACCTCGACCTCGACTGTCTGGGAAAATCCAAGCTATTTATCATTTGATATACATACATACTCGTATATATACTTGTGAATGTAAAGTGCTTTACGGACATAAAGCCCGAAGTTCGTCCTACTTTATTGTTTGTCTCATACTGCCAACTAGTTCTGCTTTTAAACTGCGCAGCAAATAGTCAAATCTAACCACCATAACATTGTTTACCCACTTCTAGTTATCTAATATAATTCTTTGAATTAATCAATTTTTTAAGCACAATCTTGAAAGTTTTCATGCACTTACCATTTGCTTCCAACTTGGTCAACATTAGTGCTTTTGCAACAGGAATCAAGCCGGTTTAGATATATAGGTTTCTCTTCTTATCCACAATTTAGTCCTGAAGGCAGACAATTTTGATTCAGCTTCATCGTATCGTCCATCCCGCTGTAGGGGAACACGAAATCGTCGATTCAATTTCTTCAATTTTTTTCAATTAATTGCTCTTTGTTATAAAGCTCCAAAGTGTTTATTTCCAAACAAAGTCAAAAAGGTCATTCATAACCCCCAGAACGAGTCTAAGCGTTTTCTTTATAATGATGACCTTCTCTGCGCTTCTCATTAAGTTTTTGCCATTCAAAGCCATACCCTTGTGCTGAAGACTTTTTATTCATTATCCCTTGTCAATGCAGCTTCTTCTCCATATCCTTTAGTGCCGAAGACTTTGCATGCATTATCCCTTTGTCCATCCAGCTTCTTCTTCATACCATTTAATGCTGACGACTTATTACGCATTATCCTTTTGTCTATCCAGCTTCTTCTCCATACCCTTTAATACTGATGACTTCCATACCCTGCTGAAGACTTATCATGCATTATCCCTTGTCCACACAGCTTCTTCTCATATCCTTTAATGCTTCCTTTTGCTATCCTTTTGTCTATCCAGCTTCTTCTCCATACCCTTTAATACTTTTCATGCATTATCCATTTGTCCATCCAGCGTCTTCTCCATATCCTTTAATGCTTCCTTTTGCTATCCTTTTGTCTATCCAGCTTCTTCTCCATGCCCTTTAATACTGATGACTTATCATTCATTATCCTTTTGTCTATCCAGTTTCTTCTCCATACCCTTTAATACTTTTCATGCATTATCCCTTGTCCATCCAGCGTCTCCTCCATACCATTAAGTGCTGAGGACTTCTCATGCATTATCTATCCATTTCCATTTTCCATCCAGCTTGAAGGATATTTCAGATGTATTTGTATTTTAAATGTAACCCTCTCCCTCTTGCAGCCTGCACGTGCTCTCCCTGGGCGGCAACCAGATCATTGAGGTGCCCGAGGGAGTCGGCTTGCTGGCCCAGCTGCAGGCCTTGGTGCTTTGTGACAACCTCATCGAACACCTGCCCATGAGCATAGCGCGCCTAAAGAACTTAAAGTCACTGCTGCTGCACAAGAATCGACTGAAGCACTTGCCCAAGGACATTGTCGCATTGAAGAATCTGACAGAGGTAAGCAGCGACAGCATTCGAGTGCTGGAGAGAGCGTCTTTTCATTCACCCTCTTTCCATCTCCTTTTCTTTGGTCTGCCCTGCAGCTCAGCTTGCGTGACAATCCGTTGGTGGTGCGCTTCGTGCAGGATATGGCCCTAAATCCACCCACACTGCTGGAGCTGGCGGGACGTATAGTGAAGTCGAGTGGCCAGCGTCCCGGACCGGGCGATCTGCCGCGCACCCTCATCGAGTATCTGAATAGCGCCAACTGCTGCGTGAATCCGAACTGCAAGGGCGTCTTCTTCGACAATCGTGTGGAGCACATTAAGTTCGTGGACTTCTGCGGCAAGTATCGGGTGCCACTCCTTCAGTACCTCTGCTCCTCCAAGTGCATTGAGCCCGAGGAGCGCCTACGTGCCCCGAGCAGCAGCAACAGTGCCAGCAGTGGCTTCATGATGCGCAAAGTTCTGCTCGGCTAGCATGATCCCCAATTCCGGAGGTGGAGGCGGAGATACGGACGCTGGTGCGGAACTGAGCAAACCCAATTCGTCAGTGGCTGTGTTGTTAGTGCGGGGGCGGCGGAGTCCCGCTGTGAAACCCATTGGCTTTAAGCACACGATACCAAATGGAATTCATTTTTTGAAATGCATTTTGTTGTTAATTGTTATGCTATTTGTTTTTTTTTTTATGAAACCTATACCTAATACCAATGTATGCTTGTATATATATAAATCGATCTATGCATATGTTGATGTTCTTAGATATAATGTAGTTCGAACTAAATTGTGCAAAGTTCTAAAATATACTCGTAACTATAACTATTTATATTTTCGAACGATCCAATCACAACGATTGTTCGCAACACACATCTCCCTGATGAGCCCTATACTAAAAAAAAAAAAGTAGAGGGTGTTCCTGCTGTACAATTCTTGAAGGTAAGACGTAATTTATTATTTTTGTTCCCCGAAGTTTTATATCTGGTGCCCTCCCTTAGTTAACAATAGAACAAGCCTTTCGCCTTTCGCCTTTCTCTCACAACAATGTTTGCTCTGCTAGTATTATTACTACTAGAACACTAAGGAGTTCAATCGTTACCATCATTTTGACATTTTCTCGCTTGTGAAGTAGTTTAATTTAAACATTTTCCATTATAAAAATCGAACAGCAATATTTCCCCACTTCCGGGGTGAATTTTTCCAAATTTTTCCGTCCCAAGGAGAACACTTCAACTTTAAATGTTTGAGCCGAGCGTTGATACATCCGGAAGTTTACCTAAAAGTTGTAAAAGGTTATATTTTCATAAGCAATAATTTAAAAGTGGTTTGTCTAGTATTTATTAAGAATACCTTCCTTTTCATGAACATCAGCAGTATTATAGCTCCAGCACTGTATAAACTGGAAAGTCCAATCATCCTATTTGCTATTCATTAGACCACAAGTCGAAAATTCGAACTCCTATGGATTCCAGGCACAGGTCGAGTAATCAGATAGATGTACATAATCAAATGGAGCGTACAATGATATCAAGTACCAGGATTCCGATTGTGATTTGATTATTTGTGTTGCTCTTCTTAAGAATAATTGAGTTATATGTCCCACAAATACATACTTCGAGTTACATAAGAAGTCCAATATTTTATTGTTTATTTATATTTTTATTGTATTTTGTTTGAAACGTCTGCTATTCGTAGTTGGCCATAAATGTTACTTGCATTACCGTCGAGTGTACAATCACTAGAGCTTATAGAGAAATTAGGTTCGCGGCTTATAGGTGTAGTTCGTGTTCTAAAAGTTTATAGCATAGCTTAATTTAAATAAACGTACAGAGAATTAATAAACATATAGATAGATACAAGTCTAGGATACAATTTAAGGACTAGGTAAGGTAGTTGAAAAAAAAAGGAAGGGGAATAGGCAACAAAGTATTTATGATTGATACAAACAAATCTTGAAGGTAGAGCTAATGGTAATGGTGAATGGATAATGAAAGATTTGTTTTCCATTTTACAACTACATAAGTTAGGGCGCTACCGATGCCACCTCCACTCAATGCCAATCCTTACAGGAGCGCTGGAGGACTGGAGGTAAGGCTGCTGCCGACTTTTGCACGCGCTTACAATTACAAATACGAATACATATGTATGAGCTATGACCCTAGGAGTAATATGTGAATTTCATGAATGTATGCGTTCGTGTTTTTTGCGTCCCACGAGTTTCGGGCGAGCCACGGGACGTGAGTGTAGAGTGTGTGGAGAGTGTGTAGTGGAGTGTGTGTGTGAAGTGTGTGAGGGTATGTCTTATATTGCTAATTATGTGAATTGGGTTTAGTTATAAAAGTCGGACGATGATCGCTTGGAATATGCCGTGGTTGCTGAGGTTGCTGCCGCAGCATCCCTTACTGGTCCATCACCTCCTGGCTGGTATCATCCACTTCCATTGCGGCTGGCTCGTCCTTGGGTGCATCATCGGTTGCCATTTCGCCGCCAGTGGCTGCCCCAGTCTCGGCCATGACCACCTCCTCTACGGCAGCGGAGGGCGATATCTGTGACTGCTCCTCCTCCTCCTCGGCCGGTGTGTCCTCCATAGGCTGATCGTTTAATGTCAAAGCGGGCGGTGCCACTGTTGTTGGGGGTGTGGCGGTCGAAGCAGTTGAAGCTGCTGGCTGAGCCGCAGCTACGGCCTCAGCAGCTGGTTCGTCAGTTTCAATGGGCACCGGGAGAGACGGCGCTTCCTTATCGGCAACAGCGACCTCCGGATCAGTCGACTTTTTTTCGTCCTTCTTCTTCACATCTTCATCTTCAGCCGGTACTGCTGTTGCCTTCGACTTGGCTGTCGACTCAGTCTCAGTCTTTTCGGTATTAGTATCACCAGCGCCGTCGCCAGTGGCATTGGCAGTTCCAGCATCTGACTTGGACTCGGGCTCAGTCTGAGTAGTTGCCTTGGCTGGTGCCTCCTCGGCAGCCTCTTTATCTGCCGTCTTTTCCTCCTCTGCTTCCTTTTCTGGACTTTGTGCAATTTCCTCTGGCTTCTTTGCCTGGCTGCTTGGCTTCGGCTCTTCTGTGTCTGCCTCCTTCTCGGGTTTAGCCGGCTCAGCCGGTGTATCAGTTTTCTCGCTAATCTTGGGCTCCTTCTTCTCGACAGTTTCGGTCTCTTTTTCCTTAATGGCTTTCTCCGACTTAGCAACAGCTTCGCTATCACTTGCCTTGGCCTCGGAGTCTGCGGTCGGTGTCTTAACCTTTTCAGCAGGCGTTTCTTCTTTGGCGCGCTCTGCAGTTCCATCTTGCTCATCGCTCTCATCATCCTTGGTGGCGGCATCGACTTTAGCTGCAACGGGCTTGCTTTCGGGCAGCTCCTCTTCTACCGGAGCTACCTTTACTTCCTTTGCGTCTTTTGCCTGCTTGTCGGCACTGGAAATCTTCTTGGATTCATCCTCGTTCTCAGCCTCCTCGGCCTCAGCCACAGCCTCCGCCGTTTGCTGTTGTGCATCCACACGAGCTTTTTTCTCGCGCACGACACCAGTCCCATCCGTAGCATCCACTTCGGCATCAATGCTCTCCACATCGGGTTTAGTTTTTAGAGCTGTCTCCACCGGTAGACTTCCAGTTGCTTCGCTTTCAACGTCATCGGTGTTGTTACTGCTGGACGCCGCTTCGGGTCGCTCCTCCTCATCGTAATCTAACTTGACCTTCTTCGCCTTGGGCTGCACAGTGTCGTCGGAACGAGGGCAGCTGGCCTTAAGGGTGCCGCTGCTGCTCTCCTCAGCATTTCCATTGCGCTCGTCCATATTGTTGAACAGACCCTCGTTCTCCATTTCAATGTCAATGTTCACCTCCAGAGACAGATCGCCGTTCACCACCGAGTCCAGGGAGTCGCCGTTCTCGCTTTCCGTGCGCTTGCGACCCGGCTCAATGGTGCTGACCACTGTAGGAAGGAACAGAGCTAACCCGTGTCATAGACTGAGCCAAAGCTTATCTGACGAGGTTTCCACTTACCCAGAATGTTCTTCTCCAGGGCGCGCATGAACTTGTCAATACGGGAGTACTGCTTGCGAGGATCAATCAGGAGCTCGCACAAACGCTGCACCGTAAAGGGCGCCGCATTGAACAAATCTAGGCGCTCCAGCAACGAGGATTTCATAGTCTCGTAATTGAAAGGATCTACATTGGGATAGTTGGGTATTTCTGAGAATCGAAGCGAACCATTTAGAGTAATGGGGCTGGCACATGCTTATTGATTAGGACACTTGTGCTTACCCTCCAAACGGGGTGAGTCCTCATTGAAGTGCTTGATCACATGCAGCAGTTTCTCACGGAACAGATACTTGAGGCTGGACCACTTGAATATGGTGTCGCCGGTTTTGGCTACATACTGCAAATAGTCCTCCAGCTCTTTTGGTATCTCCTTCTGCTTTAGACGCGTAAACCGCTCCAATATCTGTAGAATTTCCTCACTATTCTCCATGGTGACCATTTAGGCTTGTGCTGTGGCTCTGGTACTGTTACTGGTTCTGGTTTGTGTGAATGAAGCACTCCGACAAATAATATCAAGAAACTGCGGAAGGGAGCACGAAAATCGCAGTTGCATGAAAAACCGGCCGGCACTAGTGAAAATTTTTCTTACTAAGGTAGAGACACAAAAACTTTCAATAGTGGTGCACTCAGAGTGCAGGAATGCGCCGAATCAGCGAGACAAGCAGACTCACATACACACTCACAGGGACACACACACACACACACAGTGGCACAGTTACAGAATCCGAGTTACCAACACAGATGCGTAGGTAGACAGAAGGACAGTTTAGCAGGCAAAGCGTTTCAGCCGGTTAGTTGTTGGTTGAGCTTCGCAGTATCAGAATCCGCATCCGTGTGCTTGCAACTCGCACCTTGACTAGGCAATGCCGACTGGCAGCCGGCAACTGCCGAATGCCTGCCCCTGCCCAGTTACACACACTTAGCAACTATTTAAACTCAAAACTTGGTCGGTGGTGGAGGATTCGGATTCGTACATAAAAACTAGTTATTTTTTTGCAAGTTTGTCCGTCGTGCCGGACTCACACTGGTACAACCTATATACATATGTATGTATGCTTATATGTACTTTTGTGTGTATGCACATGTACACGCTCACTACTGCAACTGCATTTTGTTGTATTTGTTGTGTCACTGCCCCCTTTACTCAAAAAAAAAGATAAAGGGTCGCAATCCATTTTGTCTTTGTGACGCTTTTACAGAATGTATGGCGGGACCGGTTGATTTGCCTGCTTTTTCTCCCCTGCACCGACTACATGGCCTAATCGCTATATATACATACATATATATAAAACGAACACAATACGTAGCACCGAATAAAAAATTATGGTTAAATTCACTTAAAACTTACTTTTGCAATTATTTTGCAAAATTTGTGTCGCCCGTCTCCAGTGCACTTGTGTGTCCCTTACTATCGATATCGACGGACAATCGAAGTGGCTATCGTGGCTCGATCGACAGCCCAATGCAACGCGTTAACACACACTGAACAAATTTGAAATGGAAATTCAAATGTAAACGACTGACCCCCATGAAGCTATTGAATAGTTTTATATACTTGTATGTAAAAATATATACAATATAAATACTTCTCATATATGGAGAAAAACATATACAAATGAAATGCCACATATTTTCTCAGATAATCTATTACATAATGAAAAAAGAGTACTTACATTTTGAGTGAATGCAGCTTCTCAAACCTTAGTTTTCGATTAGAGTTTAATTTGGATTTTTGTTTTATTTAGAAATTCTACGCCGTGAATACTCCGCATACTCCAATTTTAAAAACATGTCAATAAAATCCAGTATGTGTACCCATTTTTATTTGTTCATAGTCTAATAATAATAATAAAAAATATTATTTACATTTTTAAAACGATATTTAAATTAATTATTGGTAAAATATACATATACATTCATATGTAAATGTATGTACATACATACATATACGCAGCAAGTACAGGCATTGATTGGAAAGAATTTTAGTGGCAGTTTGGTTGGAATTGTTGGGTTTAAGAACATCACATGCCAGGTTTGGTGATTTTAGCTTTTATACTTTCTGATAAATTGCACATATTGTGATAAATTAACCATATTGACAGATATTGCTAGAACGAGTCGTCTCAGCATTAATTGCTTATAATATTTGTGAAGCACAATATCATCTGTCTGTCAAATATTAGGATCTTAAGCGCAAAATATTATTATACATATGTATATCCCGATTTGACTCAAGCTCAAAACAAAGTTATAAGTAGATTGGTAGCCTGCAAATAGGATGAAATTCTTGCGAATTGTTTGAAATAAACACTTGGGAATCACCTTAATGTGTTATTGCTGGTACCATTAAATAAACAAAATTCTCCTTAAGTCCACAGAACTAATACCGTCATGAAAAAGGCAAAATTTTGTTCTACAAAGGGTTCTTAAAATACATAAATACCTTTGTTGAGCGATTTTTACCGATTCGCTTAGTGCATGAAAGTCCCTTTGGTTGGTTTTATCGGTACAGTTTCCCTGAAAAGGCTGTGTTGTATGTTTTAGACTCTCTTGGTTTCTTGTGGCTCTATAAACAACAGTTCAATCTAGCTTGAAAATGCAAATGTGGAATTTGCAATGTTCAAAATTCTTGATGATGACGCCTTTAATTGTCTTCATATTAATGGATTCTCTCGCAGGCCAAATTTAATACTTGCAAATAAAATGCAATTCCAAATTGTTATTAATTTAATGTCACGTCGCCTTCCTGACGATTAGAACAATATTGAGAACGAAAGGAGCTAATCAGGAAAAGGACGCAGCTTGTGCCCTTGCAGCTAGACCAACAGTTGATTAGAAGGACAATAAAAACTTATAGGGGTCCAGAAGAGTTGCACTAACTAAGCGGCTTAAATTGCGGATTGTGCGAGCGCGCCATTTTCGCTTTAAGCCATTCGTCTGCATGACGCTGCTTGATGTGGACGTACATGTTGGACCGTGAACGACACTCCTTGGGACAGTGCGGACAGTTGTAGAGCTGCAGGCCTGTGTGTATTGCCATATGCTCCTGCCAGCCAAACATATAGTAGGATGATGGAAAGAGAGAGATTGATTTAAAAAGAGAAAACGCAAGTATGTCGCTGACTTACCTCGAGATTGCGCTGCTGTTTAAAGGTCTTGTCGCAGTAGGTGCATTGAAGATTCGTCTGCAGCTTGTGGGCGTACTTGACATGGGCGCGGAGGGCGGTGCGGGAGCTGCAGGTCTTACCACAGTGTGGACAATTGGTGTCGGTGCTGTCGTGTGTAAAGCGGTGCAGACGCAGGCTGTGCTCGTTCTTTAACCAGACACCGCACACCTTGCACTGCATGGCCGGACTGACGACGCCCTGATGCTCCAGCAAATGGCGCTCAAAGGAGGGCTTGAACTTGAACTTTTTACCGCAAATGTCGCAGACATGCGGGTGCAGGTCCTCGTGTATGGACTGTATGTGACGGCGCAGCCGATGTACATTTGCAAAGCTGCAAAAAAAAGAATGGGTTAGTAAATAGGATAATAAAGCAGAGAAAGAACACACCTCTTGAGGCATATTTGGCAGCTGTGCTCCAGCTGGTCGGTCTCGTGTTTTAGCAAGTGATTGGTGAGGCGACGCTCGCTGCTGAATGTGCGATCGCATTTGCTGCATGGATGCTTCAACACCTTCTCACTGTGCGCCGTTTTATTGTGCACGGTCTCGATGTGGGTCTGCAGATAGTCCTGCGAGTTAAGGGACTTATTGCAGATCGAACAGCTGTTGGATAACAAGGCGCTTCAGTGATGATATTCTGCAATTTTCAGGGAGGGGACTACTTACGTAAAGAGTTTGGGATTCACGTGCTTTCGTATGTGATCCATCAGCTTGGAGGCGCGACTAAATACCCTGTTGCAGCATTTCAGATACGCATCGCGTTCGTGCACATCGGAGAAGTGCGTCTTCAGGTCGGAAAAGTACTTAGTGCTAAAGTCGCAGAGATCACAGTTGGCTGCCATATAGTTGGCAATCACCTCCTCGTATCGCTTGGTTAGCTGGGCACGTGAACAGCCTTTGGGCTTGCGTTCGAGGGCTGCTTCCAGCTCGTTAGCCTGCTCCTGCGTTGGTTCGTTGGCCTTACTTTTGGAGGACTTATCCTCATCCTCGCCGTCGAGGGAATCAGACAGCTCTTGCGTTAGCTGCCGCTTTTTTGTGACTCTTCTCAGACGCTTCTTCCTTGCGGGCTTCAGCTTATGCTGCAACTTCACTAGTGGCAGCTCATCTGCAAAAGTAGTTTCCATAAAAAATAGACCAAAATGACCATCACAATGCCACTTACCATCAGACGTGGCAGAGGCAATCATATCCATTTCCATGTGATCGGCTGCCGCAAATTCTTCAGCATCTTGGCAGCTACTCTCGTCGTCACTGCCTGAATCCAGCGGTTTGGATCCGGTGTCCAGCTCCTGGTCGTTCGATTCCTGTTGCGACGGCGCTGGTATCATCATAACACTATCGACATTAACGTCAAGCACGCTGCTTAATAGGCCGAGATTGTTCATGTCCAGGGGCTTCTCATCAACTTCCGTGTCTGCCACCAGTGGCAGCTCGTCAATGTCCACGCCGCCTGTCCACTTCATGGCCACGCAATCCACGTTCAGGAACTCTTTCTTCAGCGTGCTCTGCTTCTGTTCGACCAGTTGCCAAAAACTGTGAAAATCTTCCAGATGCTCACAACACTCCGAACAAACGCTGGTCGAAATAGTGTCATCGGGCATTATCTGCATTAAAATAATGTAATTTGAATAAATGTTGCCAACCGACCAGGATGAACACTGACCTCAAGTTGTAAGAACTTGGCTATCATTTTAACAAGCGCCGTCTCGGCCAGGGCTTCGTTTGTCTCAAACAAGAAGACGGCATTGCTTTCGTTTATATCTCTTAAGCACAATCGACAAATCATGCTGTAATTTAAGCAACATAAAACAAAGTTAACTTAATGTTTGTTGCCAAAACAAGCCAGCTTCTCCACCGTAGAGCTGACCGATATGAACATATCGAAAATAATTTGCTTATCGATGTCACAGGTCCCATCTCACATTTGGTACAACTGTCACAAAACGTCAAAGAGAGCGGAAAGCAGTATTAAACTTTGTGGCAAGGTTGAAATATGAAGTAAGAGATTTTAAGTTTTATTTGTGATAAACTGAATTTTTACAGTCGGACATAAATAGAAAGCTGCATGTGTATACAACAACTTTAAACGCTCCATACTGTGGAATAAGCGGTAAGTTGTCTCAACTTTAATACCTATTTGTAAATGTTGGCAAATCTAACTGAAAAACTTTTAAATGAAAAAAAATACAGACCAATTGATAACCTCCTTCTTTTTTGAATTCGGTTAAAAATGCAATAGAATTCGGTCGAACATATTTTTTTTTGTGGTAATTTGTCTGCAATTTTTTGAATCGGCTGTTTTTTAAAAACTGGCAGAAGCTACATACATACATTCAAAAAGAATACATGCATACATATATATTTATGTATATATGTACGTATATATGTATGTCCTTTTTGACTTTTCGAGAAAAAGTGTGTTCCATGGGTATGGTCTTTCAAAAATCCTCACGTTCCATCTTGCTAGCTTTAAAAATGCGGGTAGTGATTAAAACAGATAGGCAGTCGTGCGCCAAAGCGTGCATCTGACATTTGCATACTTATACATACATACATACATATATGTACATATGTATGTATGTAATCTCTAAAATTCATAAAACTTTGAATGTACATGCACACATATACATACATACATACATACATACATACATACATACATACATACATACATACATACATATGTATATACATATGTATTTAAAATGAGACGGCACAAAGTAGCCCAGGATAGAATATAAATATGTATGTACATTTGAAAGTAGTATTTCTGTGATATTTTTAGAGTATCTCTGTAACTGTGATATCAATGAAAATATTTGAGATGTATTTATTTATTATAAACGCATTTCAATTAAATAGCCAATTTTTATAAAAATTGCTAATTCGATATACAACTAATTCTGTTTTTACACGGTCTTTTTTTACACGATTTTGATATAACGGTTTGAAAATTTAAATTGCATATACAATATGTATTTCTTTAGAGGTAAGGAACCAATCACCTATTTTTGCATGATGATCAATGTATTTTTTTGCACGGTTGTTTTTGGAACCAATCCAGCGTGTATTAACAAAATTAGGTGTATTTGCTTTCACGGCTTTATGTTTGCTTTTGGTAATTCCCTACATTTTAAAGAAATAAATATGTACATATGTATGTCGGGAATGCCCCCAGTTACAAAGATTTTGTATAAAATCCAATGCCAGTCATCATATCCGTTATTTGGTTTAAGAACTAAAAATAGTGATGTGAATACACAATGGAAAGTCGGGTTTTATCAGTGAATTGAATTGCGCAAAAATTGCATGTATTATCAATGCAAAATTGCAAAATCGTGATGCACGGTTAATTTTTATTTACCTACATAAATTCGAAGGATATGGCCCTATGGTATGCATCGATGTCTACACCATCACCACATGTGCCTATCGTTTGCTATCGATAGTAGTATTTTATTATGAGACGCCGATTTCCAAATCGAGCAGCTGATTTTGTGTTTATTATCTTCGACGCGTACTTCATTTGTATATGTTTTGCTGTTCTTGAATCATAATGGAGGTATTGAAGGCTGAAATTGCACGCAAACGCAAGCTGCTTGAGCAAAAACAACTTGTCGACGACAAAAAGAAGTTCTTTAGACGTGGAGAACTAAACGCTAAGAACACTGCGGAGGTTTTAGAGCGTGTGGGATATAAGAAACAGGAATCTATTGAGGCTCAGGGCCAAGCTGCTGAAGGTCCCTACAGCTTTGTCAACGATGGACAAAACATATTGCCGCGCGCCGAGGTGATAAGGCGTCTACGTGAACGGGGCGAACCAATTTTGATATTCGGCGAAACAGAATCGGACGCATTTGAGAGACTGCGCCAGTGTGAGATTTCACAGCCCGAAGCGAATCGCGGCTTTCGCAACGATTTTCAAGAGGCCATGGAGCAAGTTGATGCTGCATATCTTCAAGAAATGTTTGCAAACACGCCCACAACAAAGGAGGACCAAAAGGCAGACTTTGCCGAATTGGACGAATCGGTAACGTGGGAAACTATACAAGTCATGGCGGAGGAAATGGGCCATGACAAGAGAGAATACGATATGGATGTTATCATTACGTTGCTCACCTTCTTACTGAAACTATGGAACGATCAGATAACCAATTACACAAAGCAAGAGAAAATGTCGACCAAAGTGAAAATGGCCCGAGTCATCTATACTCAGACTAAGGAGTATGTGAAGCCACTATTTCGCAAACTTAAACTTCACACCCTGCCTGAAGACATTCTAGAAAGCTTGCGCGATATATGCAAGCATCTCCTCAACCGCAACTACATATCTGCTAGCGATGCCTATCTGGAGATGGCCATCGGAAATGCGCCATGGCCCATCGGTGTAACTATGGTTGGCATTCACGCGCGTACCGGTCGTGAAAAGATTTTTTCAAAGAACGTCGCTCATGTTATGAACGACGAGACGCAGCGAAAGTATATACAAGGTCTTAAGCGGCTCATGACTAAATGCCAAGAATATTTTCCCACCGATCCATCCAAATGTGTCGAGTACGTTAGCAAGAAGGATCGCGAATAATGGAAGCTCGCCCAATAAATTAATTTTAGTTCCATAGTCTAATAAATTCATCTCCCACAAATATTGTAACAACTAAGATTTTTAATTTTAACTGGGAGTTAGACCCCCTAACTCCCTTAAGATTATTTTAATTATTTCTATAAGAGTTTACAATATGAATTTTCGTGTGCAAAAAAGAAAGCGAATGAAATTTATAGTTTGTCCGTTTCTAAAAACGCATGATAGTCAACAACAAAAAATTAAGTGCCGGGGAAATGCTATCTATGTAATTTCTTTGATGCAATATTTTTAACATGAATTTCGAATATTTTGGGCTGCTAGAGATGGGTCAATGCATGAATATTTATTCGATGAAGTCAGCATCAAAATCGATATTGACGCTGTAAAGCCAGTGTTGAAAGGCGCGTCTGATTATGCTGATACTGCCATCACCATTGCAAGGCCGTAGTGTGCAACACTGTGTGCAGATTTTTTGTTTAATGAACGTTTATTACGTGAAAAGAACTGAAGCATTTGTAATGACAAAATAAACGTAAAACGCCAAAGTGTAATCAAAACGCCAATAAATAGAGCGTGTGTGTGTGTGCGGAAATCAAAATATATATTCGAAAAATAAATCTAACGAGTTACAACCATACACCAACTATACACTTGCAAAAAGTATCAGCAGAACGACAGCAGAGTGACAGAGAGAGAAAGAGAGCACAAACGAGCGAGAACGCGTGAGAGCCAAAGCTAGCCGCAGCCAGCGCAACAACGAACGTCGGCCGAAGACCGAACTTGGCGAAATAAATAAAACAAAAGAGCAGTCAGCTTAACAAAATTGAAATCCCTGAAATTTGATTTTCAAAAGAAAATATATATATACTAGATGACAATCGGTGAAGCGTTTTAAAGCTTTTACAACTTAAATTGTTTGTGTGCGTGCTTCTAACAAAGAGGCATACAAACGTGTCTTGTTCGGTTTTTTCGCAAACGGCTGAGTAAGCGTAAGAAGAGTGCAAAAAACGTACAAATCGAAAGTATATACGAAAGAAGAAAAAAGGAGTCAAGGAGCAACGAACTGTGTGTGTGCTGCGTGCAAAAGGGTAAGCACTATATGCGTTATGCGTTGATTATAGTTGTAGGTTTTTTGTTTGGTGTTGTTGTATTGTGCACACAGAGAACTTTCGTGCAAAATAAACCAACAAATTTGGCAAAACAACTGTGGCAATTCATTCTGTGTTCGCCTGACTGCTCTTAAATTAAAGTGCTTCGCCTACTCCAATTACAACATTAAATGCAAATTAATTTCATGTTTCATTGAAAACAATTCCAATTAAAACAGCAATGTGTGCCTGCCACTCACATAGATTTACTGTATACCCGCCGTCGCCCAACGTGGTGTTGTCCCGCTCGCACTTGCACATATGTATGCAATCGTTGCATTGTTGGTGGCGGCGGTGACAGCAGCAGGTTTTCTTCTTTTTCTTGTGTTTTTTCTCCCAATTGTAATTGTTGTCTGAAAAGTGCAATTGAATAGGCACATTTGTGCGCATCGCATACTTTTACCACAACTGTCATTAATTGTTAACTGTTTTTCCGCTTCATTCTGCATAAATTGCATTTTAAATTAAGTCTGGTTCGATTTTTTTTGTGCGCGTGTGGCAACACTACGGCACGCATACGAATACATTTATACGTCTATACAAACGCCGCAGCACAGAACCAAAAGACGTCGAAGTAGAAGAAGAAGCAGCGGCACGCTTTTATGCGATACGCGGTGGATGGTGTGGAAAAGAATGTACATTGCAAATATCTAAGCATAATTGGACAATTTTTTATAGTGTGGCTGTATTTAAAAGTGCTCCCGTTTTTCACCCAAAAAAGAAAAAAGGCTAAGATATACCAAACACTAGTGCGTGCCCAACAAACCAAGCAAATCTTTTGCGTGTCTCTGCCTGTGTATGTGTCTGTGTACGTTTGTGTGATGTAGGCTGCTTGCTTACTAAACGGTACATTTACAGTGGCTTTTCGCTCATAAATGTGCAAATTATTATGTATAATTCAACAAAATGGTTATACTTTATAATTAAAAGTGTGTGTGCTTAGATTGTTATTTTTACGCGATTAAATAATAACTAACGCCAATCAAAGTGCGCGGGTGCACATACGTATGTATGTATGTGTGCACTGCTGTGCCTCGTTGTTGTTGTTAAAGGCAACAAAAAAATTTGTTGCCAAGCATTATTGTTTCAATATATCCACCACCCACCGACCCACTCGGGCAAAGTTACCGCCCACCGCACCTTTGCAAGCGACAACAACAACATGGTCACTTTACTGTAATTTGTGCATAAAAGTTGGTTACATTTTAAATGCTGCAACCCACTATTGTTGTTGTTGCACTGGCTGTTTGGTACGCCATTGTTATACCCTGCACTGAAAAGTGTAAGAGTATATCGTATTTGGTGTGCAAGTTTGTAACACCCATTAAAGAAGCATACCATACATAGGACAACTTATGGGTACATATATGATCAGCACGAGACGAATTTAAATCACCACGTCCGTCTGCCTGTTCCAATCACTACTTCTGCCAAGAGCTTCTTGTTGACGGATACTGATAATAGTTATATTCCTGCAACAGACTTTGAATTCAATATTGAATAACAATATAGTTAACAAAAACAAAAAATATAACCTCGAAAGAAACAAATCAGTTGTATGGAGCATCTGTATACAGATGTCTGACAAAATCAATTACAAATAAAAATCAGAATAAATCCGAGTGTGTCAAATCCCGCTATTATATAGCTTAAAAAAACATGTTTATTAAGTTATTGCAACCAAATTACATATTGAGAATGTTGTTGTCAAATGCAAAAACAAAACTTTCTGATGAAAGATTAGATAGTACGAACGCAATAGGGTATATAGTTTGTGACCCATGACCATGGAAGAATAACGTTTTTGTTGTAAGCCACAGTGAATGTATATACAGAGCTTCTTAGCTCGCTCTTCTTCAATTACTTGTTAAAAGACGCCACCGCATACTTCTTGGTGACTACTGATGGACACAGTTCGTCGTTTGTGGTCTTCGTTGTCGCTCGCTGGCTGCTGCCTGCCATCGTTTCTTTTCTGCCTTGCCTTGCTTGCCTGTCTACCTATTGTGTTAGTGTGCGGGTTGCGGGGGTGGTACTCGCAGAGTGCTGAGCGCCTTCAGTTGTGGTGCGCTTTCGTTTGTGCACACACAGCGCGCGCGCTTTTTTTTTTTTGAAGCATCTATGCTCATCTCTGTCACACGCGTATGCATGCTTGCTCTGCAGTCCCCCATGCAACACACACATACAACGACCCGGCAGCCCACGTACCAAAACAAATAAAACAGCAACCAACAAATTAGTAATTGCAACAAACAAGAAGTAACAAAAAATGTTTCAATTGAATGTTTACAGCTCAAAACAAGACTGAGGCGGCATACTGATTTAGAAGAAGGAGAAAACAACAACAGCAACATATATAAGTGATTATTAATATTAGTTTGAACCAGAGGCGCCAAACTCCCCCTCTAACTAGAGAGCAGCCCCAGCAACTCCAACCCAGCCCAGCCACTTGGTGCCGTTCCAATCAAATAAGCAACCTACTTGCGTTTCTTTGCGCCAGTGCGTGAAGCCGAGGAACGCGTCAGAGGGCGGCAAGGTAACGCTAATGAGGATCTATTGGCAGCATGAGTACACTGGGGGGAAGTAGGGGAGAGCGAAATGCCAAGCCCAAATTTACAGCGTTGGATATAAATCGCATGTACAAGAATAGCCGTGTAAGTAAAGAAGCGCAATGCAATAAAATAAAGTGTGATATATATTAAAATCTTATTTTAAATGTACCAGGGCGAGTCGAGTGAACCATCTGCGCAAAAGAATCAAGTGCCACGTAAACATGGAATGCAAATCTTGGGCAAAGTGCCGTCCGCTAGGCGACCACCAGCCAATCTGCCATCCCTGAAAGCTGAAACCAATAGTACACCATTAAGCAACAATAATCTTCTAGCGGGTGCAGAAGGTATGTGTTGAACTAATTTACAAATCCAAAAGATCTACAATTAAAGATTGATGAATTACATTTCCAGGCAACAATAGCGGACAGGCAGCATTTGCGACAACTACATCATCAGGAACAGGAGCGGCGGCCGCCAACAGCAGCAGCAATCATCCCACTGGCCACAACAGTAGCAACAACGGTAGCAATAACAACAGCGGTAACAGTAGCGTTGGCAGTTCGAGCAACAACATTAGCGGCAAGCAGGCATTGTATAGCAATAATAACAGCAGCGCTAACAACAACCACAGCGCCGGTGGCGGCGGTAGCAATAACAACAAGAACTTTAAGCTAATCAACAACTCGTCGGCAGGAGGGTCAACTAAAACATGGTCTGCTATTACCACAGGCCACGAGCGTGGCGCCCACTACATTCGTACGCCACAGGTTGTACCCCATTATCAGAGTCCACAGTTCCAATTCGAGTTTCCGACTCTCGACGGCACAGTTGGGAGTGGCGGAAGCGGTGGAACAAGCGGCACAGCTCATGCAACGGGCAAGGGAGGCAAAGATCATCATCACCAGCAACACCACCAACAGCCAGGTCATTATCATCAGCAGAATCATCATCATCATCACCAGCAGCAGACGCGGGGCGGCAATGGCGGTGGCGGCAACAGTGGCGACTACCATCATGGCCGCCATCAACAGTCGCATTCGCACCATCAGACATCTCACTATGGCCACCATCATCACCGTGGAGGCGGCGGGGAGTCAGGCAACTACAGAGATGGCAACGACGACGTCGGCGATCGAGATCTCGGCGAGGTCAGTCTCCGGCCTCCGAACGACACGGCTGCCTGGCTGCACCAACAAGAAAAGGCAGCCAAAGGTGCCGCTGGCGCAGATCACGCATCGAACCAACTGGGCCCGGGCCACCACCAGCAACAGGGGGGAGCGGGCAACGGTGGCAGCGGCGGTGGTAGCGTGCCTCTGCCCATACTCTCGCTGATGCCCTCTTTCATGCAACGTGGTGCACCGCTGCCAAATGCGACAAGTGGTACCGGTTCAACCACAGTTGCCGCAGTTGCTGCCGCAGCTGTCGCGGACAGGGAGTCGAATGCATCCTCGGCAGTCTCTTATCAGAATGGCATTGTGGGTGGAGGGCGAAGTGCCTCGCCTGCAATCGGCAGTTTTCGGGCAGCCGCTGCTATTCCCAAGCGTCCAGCGCCCTCATTAACGCCACCGCTAGCGGGCAGTGGCACGGCTACGCCACCACAACAGCAGCAGGCAAACGGAGGTGGCGGTGGTTCTGGGTTGTCGAATGCTGCACGAAAGGATAAGGAGTTTGTTGTGGAGCCTGAGGTGGCACAAATGCAGCGGCCCATTATTCGAGAAGAGGACTTAGAGCGGTTAAATGCTATTGCCAAGGACGATAGCTGGACGAAACAGGACGATATTGACTACACAAAGAAATTAACATTCTCCGATGATGAGTCAGCAGCGGAGGAGCAACAGCATGTCACCAAGCAGCTGGCATCTCAGCTACAGTCGACGTCGTCATCTTCGCCGTCGTCGCAGCAGCAACCGAATACGGAACGTGCAGTATTGGCTGGCGAGCAACGCAAACATTCTAGCTCCAGCATTGGCGGCGGCAGCAGTAATGTAGGAAACTGGCAACGTGGCAAGGATAGCAGCGAACGTGAGGCACCTGACAGTCAGGATGAGCGAGAGCGTGAGTTGGTGCGCCAACAAAACGGACATCGTGGCAGTGCCGGCAACGTGGGTGGCATTGCATTGGATGCCAGTGTCTATGAACGGGTTAAGCAGCGCAAGGAGGAGGAGGAACGTCGCGAGATGGAACGTAAACAGGCGGCGGCCAAGAAGTTGCAAGAGCTCGAAATGAAAATGAACAAGAACAAGGCTCAGCTTAGTTCGGATATTGGTACAGGGGTTGTTTCCAGCACCTCGTCCTCTGGTATGAGTGCCGATCAGGCTGTAACCGGGACCACGTCGTTAGGCAATGTCAGCGAGGATGAGAGTGGTTCGCTGACACATCACCAACGTCGTAGTGGCGGGAGCTCCACGGGCAGCGGCAATGGTGGCGGAGGCAGTTATGCCTCTCGTGGCAGCGCTTCCAGTCTTGGTGGCGGCAATAACAGCGGCGGAGGCGGCGGTAACGGTCCAAATGCAGCCGGCAGCACTGCCAGTGGTAGCGATTATGGCCAGAAGGCCGTCTTTTTGACACATTTTCAGTCGAATTTACCGCCGCGCTTCCAACGCCAGCAACAACAGCAGCAGCAGCAGCAACAACAACAACATCAGTTACCACGTGGTGGCATCGAGAAATCGGCTTCGGCGGGATCTGCTTTTGACAGCAATTCACGTTACTTGCAGAAGGGCCAGGGACGGAGCATCTCCTCCAGTTATGCGCGTGGCGGCAGCGTTGGAAGTGGTGCGGGCAGCTCGGGTGGCTACGCTCGAAACCGCCACGATAGTGCACGCGATGACGATGAGCGCAGTGGTGGGGGTGGAGGTGGAGGTGTCTATTCACGCAGTGGCTCAAGCACTGGCAGCCAGCGACTCAACGATGATTACAACAGACAAACGCTGCCACGCAGCATTTCTGAAAACTCACATCGCAAAACGAGCGTCTCATCTGGAGATGATGGCTTTAAGGCCGAAAACAGCGGTGCCACATCCTCCTGGGCAGAGCAAACAGATGCTGAACAAAAGCATCGACACCGTGACGAGAGTTTTTCAAGTACGCACAGTCACGACTCAGTACAGATCAAGATACTGCAGCGTCCAAATCGTCAGCCTAGTCTGAGCGAAGAAACCAGCAAAGCGATACCCGCATCGCCACACAAACCACTAACCGGCTCCGGATCTGGCTCCGAGTCCATGCCGACACAAATACTTCGACGAAGCGTAGAGACGGACAAGTCGGAAGAAAAGACAGCGGCGCCAGCCACTGAGATGGGCCCTGACAAGTCGGAGACAAACGCTGGAAGCACTGCCAAAAGCGGAATCGGAGCGTCAGCACAAGCCTCGGCCAAGGATGGCAACAGCAGCACATCTGGCGCAGAGGACAAGTCCACATCCAACTCCTCCAGCAGCAAGCGGCCAAGTCCACGCAGCGGCGGACGACCGCGCGATGAGCCTCGTGCCGGATCGCGCAGCTATGGCCGCGAGGGAGGCGGCACCAGCGGCGGCAACTATCGCGGCACTCGCAGCAACAACGACTGGAGTAGTCGCAACAGCAGTGGCCGTCGGTATTATGTCAGCGGTGGGGAGCAACTTCCCTTTGCCAGCGAATCGGAGCAGTCCGAAGATGTGGACGAGGACAGTTACACTGCCAATGCCGGTACTGGAGCAGGTGCCAGTGGCACCAGACGGGGCGAGCGCAGTCCCAAAGTGGCCCGCCAGGACGCACAGAGCAGCGGTGGCAGCCAAGTGAGCAGCGCCAATCAGCCCGTCACAATCACAACAACCAACAAAGGCTTCTCGCCACGCGGTGAGCCTTCACGTCGCGGACGTGGTGGTTTGGCTAGCGGCGGCGCCTCCAGCTATCGACGTGGCAATGATTCACGTAGCATGAACCCCGGAAGCGGCAGCCGCGCCTACGGTCGCCTCGGCTTCGATGACTACAAGCAACGCAACTCAGAGTCAGAGTCGACGGGTAGCACAGATCTGGACAAGACAAAACAGAATCAAATGGCGTTGAGCGCGGGACTGCACAAGCCCAAGGATGCGCTAGCCACAGATGCCGATGAAAAGACGCGCAAGCAGCAGAGCCCGGCAACTACCGCTGGTGGTAAGTCGGATGTGACAAATGCCGCCGGTCTGGTCGATGCCAGCAAGAAGCATGGCGCCTCGCCACCCAAGCAACTGTCATCAGCAGCTAACGCCAACAACACTGCCGTGAGCAAAGGTGGGGATGAGGCTTCGTCCAAGGATGCCAAGAAGGCTGACACATCTGCAAACGTTGCTGCACGACCTCCACCTGGCCTGAATACAACTCTAGCCGCCAATAGTAGCAGTGCCGCCGTTGGCAGCGCTGTGAAGTCTACAGTAGCTGGAGCTGCACCCAATGCGCTTGGTGCGCCTGGCAGTGATCTGACCAAGAAGAAGACGGATGCCACCAGCGGCTCCAACAGCAGTCTTGTTACCAACGTCGGCGCTCGTCCAGCACAACGCACTTCGCTCGTTAGCCTTAGCGGCGATGTGAGTGCTCCCACTGCCTCCATCAGTAGTAGCGGCAACACCAGCGGCAACAATTCGACCGATAAGTCCAAACTCTCACCAATTGGCGACAAGTCGCAGAGTGGAGGTGGAGCGACAGCTAGCTCTGGGGGACTGCGTATTGATGCGGGCGCGCCCGTCAATACAATTATATTCGAAAACTCAACCTATAAGCAGCAAGCAGCTGCCGGAGTGGGCGGTGGTGGCAGCAGTGCTCAACTGAAGCTAACTGGCGATGCGCTCTCCGTGGCACCCAGTAGCACCAGCGCCACTGTCGATAGATTAACCAACGCACTTTCCCAAATGTCGTTCGTAGGCAAGCCGACGGATGAGGAGCAGGACATGAAGCTGGGCTTCTCCTTTGGCAGCGACGACACCAGCACAGTACTCAATGTGGCTGGCGATTCTCTGGCAGAAAGCAAAACTACCAACGCACAGGTGGTGCAACAACAGCAACAGGCGCAGCAGCAGCAGCAACAACAACAACAGCAGCAGCAGCAGCAACAACAACAACAACAGGCACAGCATAATTCCACAGCCGATCTGAATATGAAGATAGCAAGCGTGAAGAAGGTGTGGGAGGCCACACCTATGCCGGAGGCACAGCAGCATCAGTCGCACTCATCGCACGCCGCGCACCAATCTGCTGCAGTGCAGCAGGCGCAGCAGCAGCAACAGCAGGCGCAGCAGCAACAACAGCAGGCACAGCAACAGCAGCAGGTGCAGCAGTCACAGTCATCGGTGGATGATGGCAGCTCGCACATAACCTCGTTTGTAGCCGCCGTGGCTGCCTCGCAGCAGCAACAACAGCAACAGCAGTTGCCCCACTATCCTGTATCGGCTGTGCATATGGCGAGCCATCACCAGCACCACTCGCACTCCCATTCACACTCACTCTCCTCGCCGGGACCCGTGCAGCATGGTGGCTACGGCGGTCATGGCGGTCATGGATCACCCTTCGATGCCGCCAACTCGCTAGAGCCCTCATTTGGCGCCCCCGAGGACTATCCCAGTCCGCAGCAGCAGCAGCAACAGCACGTGGCACAGCAACGCGCCGCCGCCGAGGTGGCCAAACAGCAGCAACATGCAGCAGCCGCCAAACAGTTGCAACAACACGCTCTGGGCATGTCGCCACCGCCCAGTCTACAGCAACAGCACCAACAGCAGCAACAGCAGCAGCAACTGCATAACGCCAGCGGTCCGTTCTATCAGGCGTCGCCACAATTTACTGGTATTCCAACAATTCCAAGTCCACCGGCGACCGTGGTCTTCAATTCGTCACAGATGGGCGCGCCACCGCCGCCATCACAGGGCGGCAACCTATATGCTCCATTCCATTCGCTTGATCATTCAAATCGCTCGCAGGCCTATTCAGCGGCCGCAGCCCACAGCTTCCCGGGACATTATGCGGCTGCTGCCGGTGGCGCTTTTAATGCATACGCAATGCAAACGCCACCCAATATGCCGCCACCTACGGGACCCACACCGGACATGTATTCCAATCTGACGTCACAGTTCCGCTTAAGCAGCGGTCCCTCGCCCTTCGGTAATCCCAATTCGCAGCAACTGAACAATCCGAACGCGGCTGTTGCCATCATCCCCTCAAACTCCAATTCAATGATGTCGTCGGGCTCCGCCAAGCCGCCACCGAATAGCAGTCAGCCCATTGGCGCCATAGGCTCCAAGTCCGCTGGCAGCGCTGCCGGTCCGTATGCGGCTGCACAGCAGTTTATGAATCTTTATGCGGCTCCGCCTCCGCAGCACCCACCCACCCACAGTGGACCACCGCCAGGAGCACATCAATTGCAATCCAACAGCTATTACTCGAATTCAGGAGGTGGTCCCAATGGGCCCCAGTTCTATGGTGGTCCACCGCCCCAGGGCGGAGGCGCTGGCGCACAAAACTATGGTCTGGCTACGACAGCAGCCGTCGCTGGCATGTATGGCGGTCATACGGGCCACCAAGGCGGACCACCTGGATCGAATGGTCCGCCAGGACCTCAGGGTCCCCCCGGCCCCCAATCGCAACACACTATGGGAAACTTTAATACACAGTTTATGAACTCACAGCTGTTGGCAGCAGCAGCCATTAATCAATTCCGGGGCGGTCCGACTCCGGCAGCGGCTTATCTGAAGAACAGCCAGGGTCAGAGTCACCTGCAGGACTCGGTAAGCAGCGCAAAGCCTCTATGGCGAATAAAATGCAAAAATTGACCAATTCTTCTATGTTTTCAGATGGGCAGGCAACTGAAGAGTCCCCTAAGCGCAGACATGAGTCTGGGACTGGCCAAGCAGGTGCAGTCGCAGCCAAGTCCACCGCATCATAAGAACTACGGCGGTGTAAGTAGACCCTTCTACCCATGATATGATACGTTAATTTAAAAAAAAAAACCTATCTTGCTCCCGCAAAATGAAAACTTTATTTGTATTACAATAACCGAATGATGTATTTATGATCTATATATATATATACATACATATATATAGTACACATATAATATATAGTATTTTTATATGGGATAGATATAGTAACTCTTTTAGCGATTCAATAAATTATTTCATTTTGTTTGTGAAAGCTTTCCTCCGCGCTTCTCATACCATGAACACCACAAAAGTTTTATTGGGTTAGGTTTTTGGTTTTTGATTTGTAGGTCGCGTGTTTAATATATTGTTTGATTCTCAGCTATCCGCAGTAATGGAGTCGTGGAATAATTCATATCATTTCATATGGAATAGATATTGCTGTGCCTGCGTGTAGCTTAAGTGCCAATTTTAGAAATTTGAAACCATTCCGCACCTAAGGTTTTGTTGTAAATTGTATATGTATTCAGACAACAGTATAATTCTTATTTTATGAAAAGCAGGAAATACCAGCAGCATAGTTTGTTGTATTATTTGAGAGTCCTTTTTCTGCGCTTCTCATTTACTCGATTAAAGCACACTTATTGGCCTTATCTTGTATTGTGTAAATATTAATCACATTTTCCATATATATATCCCTCTCTCTCGCCCTCCATCTCTGTCTCGCTTTCGCATTCGCACCCGCAGTGGGATATGCAGAACCAGGTGCTGCAACAGCAGCAATCCCAACAGCAGCAGCAACAGCAGGTGGCGCAACGGAACAGCGGCACCGGCGGCGGCAATACGCCCAACATGAATGCTTTGGGCGGCGGTGGACGCAGCGGCGCCGTCGGCAGTGGCTCCGGTAGCTCTCAGGTGGTGGGCGGTGGCAATAGTGTGGGTAGCGTTGGCCAGAGCGGCGGTGGTGCGCAGGGACGTTACCCGACCCCCATTCAACGGCCCAACAACTATCCACAGCATCCACAGCAACAACAACAGCAGCAGTCGCAGCAACAGTCGCAGCAGCAACAACAACAGCAACAACAGAGTCAGGCATCAGCGCAGCGGGCGCAAAATATGCGGCTGGTGACGGGCGGCGGCACTGGTGGTGGTGGCGGTGGTGGCGGCTCCTCAGTCGTGAGTGGCGCCAACAATGGTGGCCCTGGAGGTCCCGGTGCTGGCAGCGGTTCGGCTCCTGCTTCAGCGGCTGCTGCCGCAGCGGCTCAACTAAGCAAGCCGTCGTACTATGCCAACAATTCAGGTGGTGGTGCAGGCAGCGGCGGTGGCGGTGGTGCCAATCGTGGCGGCGAGTGGCACTCAAATTAAAACGCAGCTCTCAATTCCGGCAGCTCACACACACACACACACATGCACACACTTCCCCAGGCTGGCCAGAGATGTCGCCAAAATGGCAGACAAACACACACACACACACGCCGACACTCACACACATACTCTCATATACTCACACCCATGCAACATACATACACACACACACACACACTGAAACAAACAAACATTACGAGAAACAGAAACACTTTACGGATGCATTGAAATTAGCAGGAGCGTAGCCAACCAACAAATATTTACTTATATATACATTTAAATACAAGAAAATACTAGCGAAAGCAAATTTAAATGAAAAAACAAACAGCTAAAAAACGCAGTAAGAGTAACAAACAAACAAAAAACAACAGCAACACAAACAGGCAAAATGCGTTGAAAACACACAGACACACACACACACAGGGCTTAAGTTTAAATCTAGCAACAAATATAAACGCAAATAAACTTTAATCTTACCACACGATTGAGGGAAAAAGAATCTTAAAAACAAGCAACAACTTTTTAAATAAAAAAACAACCTGCGAATATAATAGTAGTGTGAAAATTGAAAATTGTTAAAACCGGGCGTCGTTATTGAGAAGCAGTGCGAGTGTCGTTGACCGCGTCCCGCCTCGTCTCGCCTCGCCGCCTGCCGCCCGCTACAAAACCAAGAAAGCAACACCAAGCAACCTACACCAACCAAGCAACAAACAAATAAACAACAAAATTAACAGAAAGTAAAATAAAACAACAAAAAAATTAAAACGAGCAAGAAATTTGCAAAATATAATCCTTATAATTTAGTTGGGTTACATATTCACATACATATACATACATATATATAAATATATAAATATAATTACATACATTTATAGATTGAATCTGCAGCTGCGTAAATGTTATTAACGATTGGTAAAAGCAATTTGAAACAAACAAAAACAAGAATAGGGGGCAGCAGCAAAAGCTCCAACAATTCGCGCGCTCGCGTCACTTTTATTAAATGTTTGCAAATAAAAAGGACACACACATACACATACACACACACCCAAAAATAACAAAAACAAGAAAGGAATAAACCCGATAACGGAAATTAATGTACTGCGCTATTTGCTCTTCATTGATGGAAATTCACATCTTACTTTATAAAACTAAATCATAAATAATTATCATTTTTTTTAATATGTATTGTGTTAATTTTTAGCTTTTAGTTTTTATGTTAAACTTAAAGAAACAAAAATATCAAGAGAAGCAAAAGCAAAACGCAAAATGCAAAAACTGAACGAAGAAGAAAAGAAACGCAAAAATAGCTGAGTGTATTTTTTGTCAAACAAATTTACATTATACATATATATATATATATACTTTACCCATTACTACTACAACTATCTTTTTAGTCTCCGGCACTGCGTATGCTTATTTGCAAAACTAATAATTCTAACTTATGTTTATGCTACAATACAATATAAAATTAAATATACTTCTATCTATCTAATATATGTAGAGAGAGAAAAAACATACGAAACGTACGAGAAGAGAGCAAACTTCTGAGTTGAGTTTGTTTAAGCGCAAAGTTAAGTTGAAAATTAAAACTAAATCAATTATACTATATTCTCATCCATCTCGATAAAGCGATATACATACATACATACAATACATAGATACTACACTAATTATTAAACCAACGAAATCCAAATGGCCAGCCCATCACATCAAGCGCTATTAGCAATATTTTGCAGTTTGCCAGATCCAGATTCAGATCTTGGGCGCTTGCTTGAACTACAATATGATGAATAATCCCTCCAATTGCATATTGTGTCAATGGCCAGTGATTGGTTATCCTCGTTCGTTCATCAAATGAAAACATAAATCGATCGATGATCGTCGATCGGTGACCGACCAAGCACAAGTGTTCAGGCAGCGCACGCGTTGGTGGCAACGCTGCGAGGCGAGAAGTACCAGTGCTGCCAGTTTCCGCTGTTGTCGCTTGCAGTTAGTGTTTAACCCACTACCAGACAAACGTCATCAATATGAACCGAAAAAGAAATTAATTATAATAACCAACAAGCGAAAAACTTGCAAATTTCCGGACAAAATCGAAATTGCAATTGAGAATTTTGTATGCTCAACCGAACACAACAACAAAAACAATTGCCGATCCGTTGCAAGCTCCCTCCTCCATCCAAATGCTGATGTTTGGACAGAATATGAAGGGGGGGTAGGCCTGAGAAGGGTATGGAGGTGACACGTAAAGTAATGCAAGTTATGGAAGGAAAAAAAACAAAGTAATAAAAGCGCATTATAAAGCATCTATAACTAAATGTGTAATTCATTATAAAACTTAACGCGAATACATGTATGGTGTGTATATGTACAAATATATATATACATATATACATGCCTTATATACCTTTATATACATACATATACATACACACACGTACTATATATACATAGACATGCAGCGCCCAAGCAGCAAATAATTTCGCAATTATGCAGCAAATTTTTAATAGGCAACCAAAATATGGTTATGTTAGGACGACACGAAAATCAACAATAGTAGTAGAATTAAACCGAGAGTAATGCTGCGCCACAAACTATTCCGATACCTTGATGTCGGCAGGAGTGAATGAAATTATAGAAACTTAAAAAAATAACACTTTAGATACAAATCAAACAAAACAGCAACAGCAAGTTGGAAACATTCGGAAAACTAATGTAGCATCGTTTTAGTTTATGGCTGATGAGAACGCTTTAATTTATTTAATTTTTTATATTTTCTTAGTAACCTTTTGCTCACAACTCTCACACAAAATAGTAGCAGCAATAAATACCTATAATAATTATAATAATAATATAACAAATAATAATAATGATAATTATATTATTATCGATTGATCGATCGAGTCGAGTCGAACCGCAAACAAAATTGGCAGCGAGAAATGGAAAAGTGCCGCGCATTTTATATGACCCTATTATACATATGTAAACATAATTTTTAAACTCACACATATACATACACACAAACACACACTTACTCACTGAATTCATCCACACAAACATACATTTATACATGCATATATATGTATATGTATGCCTATATATGTATATGTAATAATGCGTATGAAAGAGAATAAAAAAAGTTTAGTTATTAAAAGTGAAAGTAAAATTGCAAAATTGCAACACAAGCGCATGATGTTACGAGAAATGAAAAGATATATTACCAGATATATATATATATATTTAAAAAGATATAAACATTAAATTATATTTTAATTGCATATGTTTTTTCGTCTCTACCAAGCAAAAAACAAATACAAAAACAAAACAAAGTACATGGCATAAATGTAAACCATTTTTACATTCAATTACATAATTCAAATTAATTTTTAGTAATATTTAAATTTTGAGAACTGGGCCAGTCCCAAAGAAAATTTAAAGCAAATTTAAAAAGGAATAAAACTTAAATAAAACAAACAAAAAAAGCAAAAAACAACAACAAAAAAAAAACAAACCAAACATGTGAAACGAAACTGCGTAACTAAAATAATTTCACAATGATAAATGGTCATAACCGAATAAACACACAAAACTTAAAGCGAAACACCAAACAAAAGCTCGTAACGGTTTTGGGTTAGTTTCAAGGACCCTTTGCTTCAAGGATCCTTTCATTTTGGCGGCGAAAAGAGTTCAGATTGGAAGGGCTTTTCAGAACAATTTCAGTATCCAAATTCTACCAACTTATGCGGAAACGAAATGGGCTTTACAGAACACATTTAGGAACATATGCGGAAACGAAAATTGAAAATTCACTTAATTTCAAAAAATGATTTAGCAATTCGGTTTCAAGAGTGTTCCAATTGTGTTGCACTAACCTATTTGTCAAAAGAATAGCTCCAATCATTATTCGAGATTTGGAAATCTTAACAAGGTCGAATTCGAAAAGAGGCCTGCTTAAGATATTGTTTTCAGGCAGCCTAACCATTTAGATGTTAGCTTAGGCTAGTGGTATTGTAATCCCTAAATCGGGATAGAGAAAGTCTTTGCTTTCTCTGCGCTTCAATGTGAATTGTATGCCCAATTATCAGTCTGGAAATTGTTTTACACGATTTGCTGAGACGTAATTCCTTCTAGTGCCTCTTTTCATGTTCATCTGTATATTCGCTTCCCGACACGCATTTTAGATATAACATAGTTCTTGCAGTCGCCTATTAACATTGAGTTTTGGTTCTGTATATATGTATAATATTGTACCTTTGTATACGTAACAGGACGTACAAGGCTTGGCTAGGCTTACGAAGACTATCTTTTAAGCAACCTTTTATAGCTGCAGGAAATTCGTTGTTTCTTGGGAATGCTTTTCTAGGTATTTGTCATTTCTTGAAATGTTTAAGATAAGTATAATTATAAAAGCGCTTCGAGAATATTTCCCAGTCAATACGGTTTTGGATTCATCGGGTATTTGTAAAATAATTAGACCTACATATATACCATATCCCATGTGACATATATATGTTGTACTTACCTAGTTAGCAAAACGATAACAGCAACTGACAGTGGATTTATTACAGAACGTCTTCACGTTTTCCATCAAAGAATAAAAAAAATTATGAAGAACCGATTTGCATTCACTCCCCTTTACACATGGACCGAAGTGATTCATAAACTATCCGATATATTATAGAATTTTCTTGAGCAGCCCTACAACTAGATGCAGGCTCAGAAGATCCGCCAGAGCATATATATTCTTCAACAGCATTGCGTTTTTATAATGCTCTGATTACCTGGCTTTCCGACGCAGCTATTAAAATTATTGTGCCGACCAATCCATAATGTTGAATCCGAAATAAATGATCGATGGAAATAAATTTCCATTGATTGCATTGGATTTGCTACTTCAAGGCAGAGGCGTGCATTACATAATGCCATAATTGTGTGTTTATAGTGTGTTAAATATCCAACATATTTATTCCTTAAAGGTCTCGCACTACAAATAAGTTTACATAGCTCCTCCTGCATTCAGGAGCCGTTGCTGCTCTCCCCGCGACGGCCACAGGACTCGCCAGTCCAAATCAAATGGCAGCTCTGGATCATGCAACACTCTACTTCTTCTTGGGCTTCACAATCTGCCAGGCAATCACCAGACCAACGACTGCGTACGTAGCCTTAGCCACCTGCAATATAGAATATGTTACGTTGTAGACCCATCCATTTATATGTGCATATAATAAAGAGTAAGAGTTCCACTCACGTTGGCACGGCCGCGCATTGTCGTGCCATTGAAGTGTTTGGATAAACCGGACAGTTTAGCATCATCGGCGTGTTCACCAGCCATTTCTGCAACGAAAGGCGCTGTTTAGAAATAACTCTACTAATTTTCATTTGTTGCAATTACTTACTTTCAGATTGTTTCGCAAATTAGTAAGCTGCTGCTATGGCCAAAAAAAAATTCTGCGAGGTTATACAACTTCTAGCTGCTGGCGTTGCCACTACTCGGCTCTCTGAACATATGGCGGCGCATTGCTTACGTTGGGTAGCACTTCGTGTTCCTCATGGTTAGCACTGTTGGCGCGCAATTCATGACAGATTCGAATTAAGTATCAGTTCTGTGAGATTAAATTTTTAATAAATACGGGTTTATTGTTAATTGGGCTTATTATTAATTGGTATACCGTTTTCGCTACTGTAAATAATTTGGCCACCTCTTTGCTCTGTTCTTCAGAATATTGAATAAGATAGAAAACCTTATTGACATACTCTTAAATTAAATCAAAACAAGTATTTAACACAACGTTCATAGGCCCTTGCAGACTTGCTTTTCCAGATGCTTGTGTTCAAAAGATTATTAAAACACAACAGAAAAATTTAAATTGCAAATCATAGCAAGACAAACAATACTATTCTATTACCAATGTATGAAAGTTTTCTCGAATCCTTCACCGATTGCCAATACCTGCTTTTATGCAAAGCATATTTATACTTTAGATTACAAAATATATAGATCAGTGACGGACGAAGAAGACTATATCCATAAACTGACTAAACTATATTTATATATTGTTCTTCGACAGTTAAAGCAATATATTACTCGCATTGATAATAATATTAAGTAAGCACTAGGGGACTATATATTAAACGAAATTTAAATATTAAATATCATGTTCAATACCAAAGCCTAATACCGCCTTCGATTACTAATTTAAGCCTTGTTTATTGTATTTTAACTATTATGTGCTAAAAAATATCAAGCTGTGGGATGTGTGATTATATTTTTAGTAATAAGTACAATAATTTAAGATGATCTCTTCTGAAATTTTTATGGGAATTATGGAGCCACATTCTGCAAACTCTAAAGCGGACACATTGACAAGGACGTGGGACATGGGAAGAACAACAGCTGAATGGTTGACAGGGCATCCATATGACAAAGCATACTGGAAGTGCGCATAAAAATGTGGAAAATCGTTGTAATTAAAAGCCAAACCTTTGTCCACCTAGTCGACAGTAGTTATTTGGACCGACATGAAAACTTTAAGGACTGCACTTGAGCGTCAAACGAGTTTAAATAATAGACGCGTATTAAATCAAAGCAGCAATGAAAGACCAGCGAGGGTCCACGCCCACACACACACACACACACACACACACACACACACACATACAGAATGCAACGCCATTGTCAGCTCGTATTTTCGAGAGAGAGAGGGGGGAACAGCAGCGGCTGCAGCAGGATAATGAAAGGCAACCCCATGTGATTTAACGCTAACTTGCCTCAGGCATCGTGCAGATGTCAATGGTGGTCGCGTCCGAAATGAAATTAAAAAAATACAAGGAAATACCTAAAATATTAATATGTCACGCCTGACCGTTGATGAGTGGGTGTAACGCCTTTGGCGAAATTCCTATAAAATAAAGGAGCCAGCATTTCCAGCTGCACATCCATTGTATTAAAGGTCGGGCGTCATGGACAACGTCAACTTCTTGCGGGTTCAGCTTTTTGTGTTCCGTTTGATGGGCATAAATCTGCATAATCGTGAAAAGGACTTTTCCGCGTTTACATCCTTTTTAATCTTTGCAATGGTATCCTTCAATGCACCCATGGGTAATAGCGTCAGACAAAATCTGACAAATGTATCTAATGTGTCGGACACTATGGGATCGGTGCTCGCAACCTCTCTGACATTCACCAAATATTTGACCTTCTTCTATTACCGCCGGGAGTTGGTCGAGCTTGTCAATCGCATACGTAGAATATTGAATGCGGGTGAGTGGTAGTTACAATGGATATCTATATAGATGAAGGCTTTAACAGACACGCAGAATGTTTGCACAGCAACTTATCGAATTTGGAAGCAAAGTTCACTTTTAAAAGATAGTTGTCCTCTTCAAAATGTAACTTACAAAAAGAAAAAGTTTGAGACATAGCATAGAGAAAGGGGCGAATTTGAATTCAATGTTCTATATAGGCGTAGAAAGGCATAGAAAATGAGAAAATATCATAAATATTTTTCCTTTAAATTTATTTGGATATGTATTAAAATGTTATATGCGGCAGAGAAATGCTATTCCTAACAGTCTTCCAGCAGGCTAATGCGAGCTGCAAGGCTCGTAAATAGTTTAAAAACACATCTTGTCACTAGAAAATCTTTGGGCTAAAATGAAAAAAGAGATGTAAAGGAAATTTTATATTTATACTTATACTTATGTATGCATTTTTTTGAGAATCTTTTCTATTTTATTTTTAAATTGGTTGTTTCATTTTAATAATACGTTAAGAAGTATGGAAGATCAACAAAAACCATCCCTGAAAGTCTTTTATAATAGTGCAAATATTTTTTATTCACTTCAAATATAGAATACTTTTGATCAAATAAAACTGATGCGCTAAAAGACAATATAGTACATACTTTAAAAATATCATAATATGGTCATGATGCGCTAAAAGACAATATAGTACATACTTTAAAAATATCATAATATGGTCATGTGCAGGCGGTAGGCAGAAAAGTAACCGATTGTAGTCCAAAAAGTTTAAGAAAATTCGTTTTGAAGTGCTATTCATAATATGATTCCGAAAACCATTTTTTCAAACAATATTTATTTATTTTGTTGAGCTAAATCAATATAGTTTAGCGGTCTATTATACTGACTACTTACATATGAGTACACATATAGAACAAGAAAGGAATGCTAAAGTCGAGCAGGCTCAACTCTTAAATACCCTGTACCACCCCACAAAAAAGTAATTAAATTAATTAATTAATTTAATTAAATTAATTAACTAAATTAATTTAATTAATTAACTAAATTAAATATAAAATATTCCATGCATGCATACATACATTTACATTTACATCAGAATCGTGCCTTATGCGTGTTTGTGTACTTGTACATATGTATGTATGTGTGCATTGGGCCTGGTTATATGGCTATAACTTTCTTTTCGATCATTCTATCATAATGAAACTTGGTATACAGATATATATTTACTAACCTAATATGACTACCAAATTTTAGTTCAAAATTCCAAGAATTACGGGAGTTATAGAAAATCGGTAATAGGGGGGGAGTGGGGGGGTGGATCAGAAAAAATGAACAAACTCGTCCTTTCTCGGTCTCAGGAGAATCTGTATACCAAGTTTGGTTATTCTAGCTCTTTTACTTTCGGAGATCCTTGCGTTCATACAGACAGACAGACGGACAGACGGACAGACGGTCAGACGGTCAGACGGACAGACGGACATGGCTATATCGACTCGGCTTGTCATGCTGATCAAGAATATATATACTTTGTGGGGTCTACCAAGCCTCCTTCTGTGTGTTCCATGTGCACTCGCACAAAACTAATATACCCTTGTACCCTTTGGGTACAGGGTATAAAAATAGTGGTTTTAAATTTTGGATGAAATTCAAGAGCGTTACTCAAGCCCCTTCTAACCAAGAAAAGAGATACATATGGGCATTACCTCCGAACGGTCTACCGAGGCCACAAAATTAAAATTTCTTAAGCTATTTTGTTTTATTTTTATATTTTATTTTATATGTATATTTTATATTTATAGAAAAACAGTCGAATCTAACTAATTTAAGCAAATTTTATAATTATTAATAGCCCATTACTATACTTGTATATTCGAATGGAAAAGTGCGCAAGCGCACATTTTCTCATTTCAGTAATAAAATTTAAATTTATTTTTGATATTGCATTTAGTATTTGTTACAAACATATGTAGTTGTTAAATTTGTTATTTTGAGAAAATAAATACATTTAATTCAACTGACAACGGAAAAAAACATTTTTACTAGGTTTTTTAAAGAAAAAATTTATTTTTAAGGAAATTAAAAAAAAAAATATCATAATGGAAAAAAGTTCCGTGGGAATGCGCTTAAAATTTAAGTGCAAAAAATTTGTAAATAATTTTTGGATAAAATCAAACCATTCTTAGAAGACTTCAATGCACAACCTCCCAAAACAAGTCGCATTGAAATACAAGTATTGCCTTTGGTTTCGCTTAAATCTGCGAATACCTTGGTTTATTGCAATCACCTTGGAAAATCACCCTTGACACCAATTAGAGGGCTAAACAGAGTTGCAAGTTAGACAATTAACAATAAAAACAAGATAGAACGCTACAGTCGAGCAAGCCCGACAGTAAAATACCCTGTACTCTCCACAAAAAGGAAAAATTAAAAAAAAAAATTTTAAAAAAAATTAAATTATTAAAAAAAATGAATGAATGAATGAATGAATTAAATTAAATTAGAATACATGTTTATGTTCAGTTTTAACAGCATACATTTACATCACGTACCTATGCGTGTTTATATTCTTGTATGTATGCAGCACAAAGTTGAACCAAAGCAGCAACAACAACAACAGCTGCGGGCAGCGATGCCGACAGAGCTGCAGGCAGCGCATGAGCAGCGATTTTACTTATGGCTATAACTTTCTTCAGAATTGACCTATCATGATGAAATTTGGCACACGGACACATTAGTACTAACTGGATGTACCTACCAAAATTGATTTCAAAATTCCGAGAATTACGGAAGTTATAAGAAAAAAAAACGAATTGCGGGGGAGTGGGGGGGTGTATCAGAAAAAATAAACAAACTCGTTCTGCCTAGGGCTTATAGGAACCTTGATACCAATTTTGGTTATCCTAGCTCTTGTACTTACTGAGATCCTTGCGCTCATACAGACAGACGGACAGACGGTCAGACGGACAGACGGACAGACAGACAGACGGACATGGCTATATCGACTCGTCTTCTCATCCTGATCAAGAATATATATACTTTGTGGGGTCTGCCACGCCTCTTTCTGTGTGTTACATACATGCGCACAAAACTAGTATAGCCTTTCACCCTTTGGGTACAGGCTATAAAAACTGTTTTCATTGACTTTTTTTCACTTTAAATGTGCACAACTGTCCCGTGCGACACCTTGGAAATGTGCCCATATATATAAAGTATATCTTGTTTGTGCTTCCCACACAGAAATGGAAGCCTGGCCGCCGGCTTTTGAAATTGTTGAGGCCGAGAATCGGAGCGATCAGCGGTTAAGTGGCCTCTACATACGCTGCTTCATAGCGGCGGGAGTGTTTGCTTCCGTCAAACCGTTGGTGACCATGGGACTGGCTGTGATGCGAACGGGCAGTACGATGTTGGAGCTGCCGTATGTGGCGCAGTATCCTTGGGACAACCAAGTGGTGTACTTTTATGTGCCCACCTATGTGTGGAATATGCTGGTCGGATACACGGCCGTCGTCATGGCTCTGTGCATGGACACTCTGCTCTTCGCGCTCATCTACAATGTGTGCGCCATCTTCAGGGTGGCACAGCAACGGGCAATCGCCTTGGGGGAGGTCAAGGGGACGGCCAAGGAGGAGTTCGAGAGCCTACTGCAGGTCTTGGAACTCCATCAAACGGGACTGCGCATTGCGGAGCAGCTGCTCAGCTACTTCCAGCCATTGGTGTTCATGCACTTTCTGGTTTCAGCTGTGATGATGTGCTTCGTGGGCTTTCAGGCGGCCGATTGGTTTCCCAAGCCGCAGTTCATTTACTTCATGGCCTTTGTCAGCTCGCTCCTGATTGCTGTCTTCATCTACTCCTATTGTGGCGAGCATTTGAAGCACGAGAGCGCGGCATTTGCCGAGGCCATCTGCGATAGTGCCTGGTATAAGTTCTCGCCGGCCAGCAAGAAGGCGCTCCTTCTCGCCATTATGCGATCTCAGCGACCCTGCGAGCTTCGGGGCTATTTCTTTGAGGCCAACATGGCGACCTTTTCGATGGTAAGCGGACTAGCTTTTTGTGTGTGTTGCCTCCAAAAATTCCTTCTACATTGCAGATCGTTCGCTCAACAGTGTCGTATATTATGATGTTGCGCTCATTTAGATAAACATTCCATTGTATGTATAGGAATAATCAGCATCAGCATCTCGTGATTGTGGAGGACTTGTGCGCCAAAGAGAATATATAGTGCTGGCTACTTCCTGGCCTTAATAATTTCACTTTTCCTACATTTGATTACCCATGGTCTTTAGTTTCCCCCACCAGTAAATTATTGTTGTAATGCTCTGCTAAAACTATCCCCCTATTGCCACAAAATGTGCTCAAATTTGAGAAAGAATTAGAGAAATGTTCAATAGCATTATTTATGGTGTTCCATCAATTCAATCCAACAATAATTGTGTAATTAAAAAATCGTATATCGTTTAGAAAACTGATTTAGTAGTATATATATCATCCAAATATATAGTTTGCGAAAAACCACTTGGCACACAATATAACTTTCCAGCACAGGCAACCAAGAAAGATCCGTAACAGCAAAGAGAAGAAGCAGAAGGAAATCGTCAGCAGAAGCTTGGATCAGTGGGGGCCGTAATATCGGGAATGAATTTCATTTGAAATAAAAAATTCAAAATTATAATTATTTTTTAATTTTATTCATTCGCTCACTGATTACTTTTGAGTTTTACATTACAAATTAAGTAATAATCATTATTTTTGGGCAAAAAAATAAAATAATAAATAATGATTATTCTTTAGGTTTTATTTTTGTGATCAAAAATAAACCTCAAGTTCTAATTGTCCCAGCTTTTTTTTTTATAGAGAATAAGGACAATATATATATACTATATATCCTTAAACCATAAGCCAAGACCAACCCCTATAGTAGGATTTTGTGCTAAAGAAAAATCCTTAAAATAATATTTTCAGGCAAAATTACAGTTCAGGTTTTACTTTTTGATCAAAAAAATTAAACTCAAAGAACAATAATTATTTCATTAATTAATTAATTAATTATTAATTAGGGTTTAAAGTAAGACTCAATATTAACCGTTACATTTTGAAAGACTGAATAAGCATGAAAATTTTCAAATTATGGTGGAAATGCATAGATAATCCTAAAAAAGGATATTGGCCAATTCCTCGCTTTTTCAAAATTACTATACTATAAGTGAATGATTTTTTTTGTTTAAAAAACAACAAAATAATCATTTTTTGCGGTCCCTGCTTTAAAGTGCTTCAGCAGCCCCCTTTCCCTTTTTATTCCCCCAGCTGGACGGTGAATACTTTTTGGAGGGGCTGGAGAGATGGGAGGGCGATGTGTGTTGACTTAAAAGAATATTATTGTGAAAAATAAATTTTATTTAAGCTCTGGTATATTTGTTGTTAATCTATAACAATTTCGAATTATTGTAAAATCATAAAAATAAATATGTTCAAACCAAAGAAGATTATTTAAAAAAATAAAATAACAAATTTTTTAAAATTGTGTATCATTGTTGTTGGGCTCGAAACATTTCGGACTGCCCTCGTACATATATACAAAAATTTTAAATTATAAAAATAAATATGATCCGTGTTGTATTGGATTTCCATTTTTTTTTACACTAAAAATAAAAACAATAATAACGTATATAAATAAATTGTAAATTATAAAATGAAATATGATCCAATCCAATATTTTTACATGAAAAGTAAAAACAAAAGCACCAATTCTTGCCTCAACTCCAGTGTTATAATTATTTTTCAAAAAAAGCCAAAACTATTTTGGACTGTTGACTCTGGAATGTTTTTAAATATTGATGAACTAGAAAGATTGTGAGAATCAACTCAACTAAAAAGCAAAACTTTAAATTGCGCTGCAACTCGCGCCCGTTATGTGCACCATTTGGAGGCCAGGTATAGTATTTCGAGTCGGGTGGAATGCGTATTTAATTTCAAATTTCCAAAATTTAATTAAGATGGTCGGAATTGGTTTCCATTGCATTTTGCAGCCTTGACGCGTTGACTTTCGGCAATAAATCCACACAACACCCATCGACTACATCCTTGTCACCTTGTTATGCGAATTTGTTGGGAACTTGTTGTGCTCTGCCAGTTGACAGTTGGCAGTTGCTGCCAGTTGCTATTTCTTTTTTATATTTTTAACGAGCTTTGTAATCCATATAAAAGAAACCGACAGCATAGTCGAATGTTAAAAATAGCGCCAGACATCGTTGCGCTTCCATCTTGCACACACACTTGCAGCTGCTTTGTGGGATGTGGGATGTGGGATGTCGGATGTGGGTTGTGGGTTGTGCGATGTGGCACGTGCCGCCCCCTGCTTTCCGCTCTCAGCTTTCCACTTACCACTTCCTGTGACTCGATGCCGGCGCTCCTCTTGCTGTTACTCTGTTGCTCTGATTACTGTTGGCTCCAGCTACAGCTCGAGCTGGAGCTCCTTGATTATTTCTCCGAAGCTTGCAGTGCAATTTTTACCCAACAGCGTTCCGAACCGTCCGCAAAATGCGGGAGCAGCCAACAAGTAATTTTTAATAAAGAACAAATACCATAACATACAAGTAGTTTTTTGCGCTTACGTTGTACGTGTACGCTTACTACAAGTATGTAGTGTAGTAAGCAGCCAACCAGTTGAGTTTGATGGCAAGCAGAAATTTCTAGTCATCCTTAGTGTTTACAATGTATCCTTTGTTGCTTGCCTTACCTCCTAACGATTGCTGTTCAAACCGTGATTGATGATCAGCGGCAGTAATGGCAACAACAACAACAACAACGACAACAACCATCCATGGGTTGAAAAGCAGCTATAAGCTACACTCAGCGCACTATTCTGCACTCATTTTCTACTTGCGATTTCCAAGTATTCTCGGAAGCAATTTCTATGCTTATGGCAGAAGGAAAAGCAATTCCTTGTAGATAAAATGTACATAAAATACTGAAAATATGCAGCGATATACATATATCGGGTGAACCAAGCGCAAAATATATTTTAAAAAGAAAACTATTCTGCACTTATTTTGTACTTGAGTTTTGCAAATATTCTCGGAAGCAATTTCTACGCTTATGGCAGAAGGAAAGGCAATTCCTTGTAGATAAAATGTACACAAAATATTGAAAATCGGTTTTTTCTGACTGCGACAATATTCATATATCGAGTGAACCAAGTGCAAAATATATTAAAAAAAAAAAAGAGCCCGTGTGATCTCGATTGTTAGAACACTTGGAGGTAGGCCTCAAAAATGCGAATAATTTCTTGAATTTTCGTTTTAATCTTTCTTTTTATACCCTGACTATAGAAGCTGGAATAACTAAAGTTGGTATCCAAATTCTGCTAGGTCCGAGAAAGGACGAGCTTATTTTATTTTTGTTTAATTTTCCCCCCTTTCCCACGCTACAGAATTTCGTCAATACTGTCCACATTTCGAAAGCTACATAAACCAAACTTGTCACAAGTAATCTCTGTATAATTATCTAATTATGCTTCAAATTTCATTTAAATCGATCAATTCTAAGAAAAGGTGTCAGCGGAACAATTTCAAACTATTTGTACGCCCACGATCTGCAGAATCTTCTTCTTCTTCTTTTTGCTTCTGCTAGGGGCGTATATAAATCTGTGCTGAAAGTTTTTCCGGGTACAGGGTATTTCACTATCGGGCTCACTCGACTGTAGCGTTCTCTCTTGTTTTTATAGCCTGTACCCAAAGAGTGAAAGGCTATACTAGTTTTGTGCGTATGTATGTAACACACAGAAGGAGGCGTGGCAGACCCCACAAAGTATATATATTCTTGATCAGGATGAGAAGACGAGTCGATATAGCCATGTCCGTCTGTCCGTCTGACCGTCTGTCCGTCTGTCTGTATGAGCGCAAGGATCTCAGTAAGTGCAAGAGCTAGGATAACCAAAATTGGTATCAAGGTTCCTATAAGCCCTAGGCAGAACGAGTTTGTTTATTTTTTCTGATACACCCCCCCACTCCCCCGCAATTCGTATTTTTTCTTATAACTTCCGTAATTCTCGGAATTTTGAAATCAATTTTGGTAGGTACATCCAGTTAGTACTAATGTGTCCGTGTGCCAAATTTCATCATGATAGGTCAATTCTGAAGAAAGTTATAGCCATAAGTAAAATCGCTGCTCATGCGCTGCCTGCAGCTCTGTCGGCATCGCTGCCCGCAGCTGTTGTTGTTGTTGCTGCTTTTGTTCAACTTTGTGCTGCATACATACACGCATATAAACACGCATAGGTACGTGATGTAAATGTATGCTGTTAAAACTGAACATAAACATGTATTCTAATTTAATTTAATTAATTATTTTAATTAATTAATTCATTCATTTTTTTTAATAATTTAATTTTATTTAATTTTTTTTTTTTAATTTTTCCTTTTTGTGGAGAGTACAGGCTATTTTACTGTCGGGCTTGCTCGACTGTAGCGTTCTATCTTGTTTTTTTTCAAAAGTTATGTTTTAGGTTTTTAAGTGTCTCAGTAATCTAGAATTTTTGTGTTTTTCGACTCTGGCTGAGCACTAATTATCCAGATAATAGAGATAATAGCGCATTACCAAAACAGACTTAAGAATGTTCTACATTTAAAGTATCCAGATTTCCAGATTTGGCATAAGCTAGGAAATATGGAGATAATCCTTTGCACCATTCGTACTTCTTTTTTTTCTGAGTGTACACTCGTGCCTGTGCGAATGAGTGTCTGTGTCCTTGCTTGTTTCTGCATGTGTATTTGTGATTGTGGGCGTGAACTTGCTTTCCAACAACAATTTTAAGTACATGCAATATTCCGTTCTTCTTTATCTGTTTTTTTTTTTTATTTTCATTCTTTACAGTTCCTATAACATTTGTTATTTTCTCTCTTTGTTATTCGCTTTTCAATCACAAGCTAAAACGACGATTCCCTTTACTTTCACATTTATATTCACAGTTGTGCAAATTGATAAGAATTTGTGGTTCGGCAGCTCGTAGTATTTATAATTGAATTTATTCTGATTCTTCATGAATTTTTGTTCTTGTTGCTGCTAATTCCCACAATTTCGTGTACAAGTTTATTGTTAGACTCAAGTTTTTGGATGGCAATGGCAATTGAAATGGGATTTGTA